TCGTCACACAAAATTTATCACTTGTATTGCAACTATAACTGATGGACGACTGTAAACATCTCTAGGTTTCCTCAGATATGCTTGTTTTGAATTTTGCATACAGTTCTGAGAAAACTCAAACACATATACTTTTGTGTATCAATTACAGTTACAATACAAAACATATATTTTGAGTGTCAAATAATATAATATAATATAATATAATATAATATAATATAATTATATTATATTATATTATATTATATTATATTATATTATATTATATTATATTATATTATATTATATTATATTATATTATATTATATAAGAAATCTTAATAGTAACAGAGAAAAATAGAATAGTGCAGGCTGGCGCCGTTAAACGTGCTTGGCTCTCGCGCGGCGTTGCTTGCGCGCAGTATGCAGCGCTCGACAAAAAGTCAAATTATAAAAAAGCTTTTCATTTGCACTAAGATTTCTTTTCAGTTCTTGTTTACCTACATTCTAAAGAACATTTAGCAAAAAAAAATTTTTTTAAATCGCGTGTAGAAAGCACTTAAAATTGCATTTGTTTATAAAAAAATTATTGAAAAATAAAAAAAAATTAATTTTTTAAAATTTTTATTTTGTAACTCGAAAGTACATTTACTCACTGATATGACCATAAATTTTTGTTCAATTTGTGCAAAAACTCAAATAGTTAAAATTATTTTATTAAAAGGGTTCAAAAATCTTTAATTAACAATAAAAAATATAAATAATTTAAATATTTTTAAAATACTTGGTAAAAATATTACCAGATACTAGTACTTTCAAATACAAATACTTATTTCAAATTTTGCAACTTTGCGAAAATAGGGGGGCCACTTCAGGAATTTTTACTCTAATTTGTTATTTGTTTATTAAATTTAGAAACAAAAATAAAAATCTCAAAATTTAACAACAACCAATTTGTTTTTAAATTCTATAGCAAATTATAATAAATGTTTATAATTCTGAAAATAAATAAAAAAAAATAAATAAAAATAAAAATAAAAAATAAATAAAAATTGTATTTCTTATATTAAAATTTGCGTTTCATAATTTTTCTTCATAAGCACGTGTTTTTTTTTAATAAACAAATAAATAAATAATTTCTATGAAAGATTAAAATTTGTTTATTTATACGCTCTCCAATATTTGTTTTCCTAGTAAACACAAAAACGTTTAAATAAAATAAATAAATAATTTTTCTTTTTAAAGTCACTTATCTTTATTTTAAGAGCACACGTTTTCGTGTATTGACCAAAGGAAAGAATTGAAAATCAAACTGATCTTGCAACAAGGACAATAAAAGTGTCCAGTCGATCAGCACTGCGGTGAAGTATAGAATTGCGGATCGTAATTTATACGTAGCAAACAAAATTGGCTGGTTCCCCTTTTGCGAGAACTATGCAGTACAAGCAACAACCCTCACCCGTTTACATTTTACCCTCAAACCTCCTACCCTTGCGGTTTAAGTCAGGACTTTTGTCCTGTAAGTGAACGACACCTAGAATTTATATAGAAATTCAGCATTGCGCCATAACGTTTAGTTTCTAACTTTTTTTTTCTCTTTCTCTAACTCCAACTTTTCATTCACGCAACAAATTCATAGCATCAGTTGAAAATAATTCATTGCTATAATTTATTTATTTACTTATACATATAAACGGGCTTACAAAGAAAAAAATTTATGAATTAATATATAAATTATAAATAATAATATGAATATATATTAATGCATTATTAATTAAGTATTTTAATTATTATTTTTTAATTATTAATTTTTAATTCATTACATTATTAATAATGTTTAAGTAAAATTAAAAAAATTAACAAAGTTATATTAAAAATTAAAATTAAACTGAAATTAAATTAACAATTAAAATATAATTATAATAATTGTAAAATAATAAAAAAAGTATAATTTTGTTTGTTATATGCTTTTTTCTGTAACAAATTTCGTTTGACTGATCTAAATTATTAGGCAAATTATTCTCTTTTTTAATTATAAAAAATACTAGAAAATTGTTAATTGTTAAAAAGATTTTATTAAAAAGTAGGAAATATAGCCATTTTATGCATAATTTTTTATTTCTTAATAACAATATTGTTTACAAACTCATTTTTTTCTTTTGGGAAGAAAAACATTAGATATTCCTGTTTCAATTTTTAGAAAATAAAGAAAAAAAAATTTTATTGAAAAAAATGTTCTGTTAAATTTATATACGAATATGTTTAATTGTAAAATTGTTTATTATTGTTACTGTAACTTCTTCAAAATTATTTTTATATTTAATTATTATCTAAAATTTAAACTAAAATTCATTTTCAAATCAATTTTTATTATAAATTTCTACGAGAATTCAATTATTTAAATACAAAAGTAAATTATTAATTGAATAATTGAATGATTCTTAAAATTTAATTCTTATAAAGAATTTTATTAACGAATTTTTAAATAATTTAATTCTTTTGATGAATTTTAATAAAAATTTTTAAGAATAGTTACATTTTTCAAGGAATTCGATTAAAATTGTATTAAAAATAATTGGAATTCTGCGATGAGTTTTAATATTTCTGAAAATAATTGAATAATTTTGAAGAAACTTATAAACAATTTGTAAATGACAATAATTGAATTTCTGCAATAATTTGTAACTTCTTCAAAATTCAATTTTTTTAGTGCTTTAACTAAAATTCTTCTATAAATCCATTATTTTTAATAAAATTAATTAAATATATATTGACAAATTTAACTAATTTTAAAAGATTTGTTCATTACAATTTCTAATTAAATTCATTCAAAATTGAAATTTTATAAAATTTCAAATTGAAACCTTTTGAAGTTCATTTGTAGGTACAACTCTTTAAAAATTGAATTTATTTTGAAATACTTAAATGAAATTTATTTTTTAAAAATTTTTTTAAAATTTAAATTTAATTTAATTTTAATTTAAATTTAATTTAAAATTTATTAAATAATTTATTTATTTTATGATAGTTATTCAAGATTTAAGTTATTTAAAAAGAATTTTTTGTCAGAAATTGAAAAAATTGAAGGTTTTGAATTAGAATTCCTGGTAATTTTATAGTTTGTGATTCAAACAAAAAAACACAAGAATTTAGAATTTTCTTATGAATTTACAAAATTTAATTTTTTCAGTACTTTTAATAAAAATTCCTGACTTTCCCCTGAATTCCAAGGGAATTTTAATAATAATAATCAAAACACATATTCCAATTAATATTTTATTTGAATTGAAAATTTTTACGTTCTATTATTTTTAAAATTTGCTAATTTTATGTTTAAAAAAAGTTAGTGTTGCTACTAACAACTCTCGCGAATTGTTGCTAGTAGTGAATAATATTAAAAGAGTTATTTTTTCGAATTTTGGTTAAAGCAGAAAGGATAAATAAATAATAATAATAAATTGTTTAATAATAATAATATATTGTTTAAATAAATAATTTAAGATTCGAGTAAAAATTAAAAAGGGAATTTATTTTCATTCCTTTTTTCTTTCTTAAGTTTTTTCTTTTTTTTTTTGAGCAAATTATTCTCACTTTTATGATGTAATTGGTAGGAAGAAGAAAAAAAAGGAATTAGGGTAGAAGTTCCTTTCACGACGCATTGCCTCTTTTATGATCATTCATGGCATGTTAGGTTGCATGTAAAAATATATCGAATGACGAAAATTTATCTGAGAATCACGTTCCTGCTTTTTATTGAATAGAGACCGTGTTAAAGGCATAAAACCAACTGCTGGTATATGATAGATCAGATAAGAGTCTTGACGCTCTCCTGACAGCGATCGATACACGAATATTGTACTGTCAGATATATAGCTGAGTACCCTGAAATTACTATTCAAGGACAATTTATTTTTAATTTTTTTTTTTTTTGGTAGAGTATAACATTTCTCATAGCAATTAATAGTGAAGTAAACAAATTTTACTTTTTATTCTCTTTTAAAAAAGCGTTTTTTTTCTGCATTACTTTTCTAAAGAACCAACTATGTTCCAAGTTATAGTTTACATTATTTTAATATTAATATAAATATATTGATAATTACCTTGTATTATTCACAATGTAATTATTTATCAAAATTAATTAAAACAATGTAAACATTTAATATTTAAATATAACATTTTTTTATTATTATAAATTAAGAAAATGTTATTCTGAAAAATAAATCTCTGCTCTCCATCTCGTTTGTGAGAGAGTTTTCATGCCATCTAGGCGGCAATTTGTCAAATTATATTGGCGCGAAATTCAAATTCAATAAAAAAAAATGAAAGTGAATTAGGTTAATAATAGGGAATAATAAGAAATTAATTTTAAAATTCTGCATATAAATAAAAAAAATATTATACGATATTACATATCGTATATATACAGTGAAGGTTGTAAGTCTTCGCCTTAATAAACCGAAGTCTTGGAATCGTGGCCTGAAAGTTAAGTCTTTAATAGTTGTAGAGAATCCACACATCAACATGCCAGATCTGCTATTTTAGTTTTCATTGGATTTAATAATTTAATTTAGATAAAAAATTTTTTTTTTATTAAATTTTAAATAAACAGCAATATTTTTTCTTTCGCTGAAACAACATTTCATTCAAAAGAAAATGTAAATTTTCATCAGTTATTTTTGTTTACATATTTACATTCTCGTTTTATTTGATGAACGAAATTTAAAAATTATTTGCAGAGGCTCATTAAAAATATAGAGACAAATTTTTATTTACATATTAAACAAAATTTACTGTTCCATGAAGCAGGGCTAATTAGCTAATTAGTCCTTTTTGCAGAAAAATTTTGTTCGAAAAATGGAAAAAATTAAAATTGCTTTTATTTTTTTTTTTTATTCTTACATGAAAATTACTTTTATTTTTTGTATTCTTACATTAAAAATTAAATATCTAAAATTAATTTTTGTTAATGTAAGATAAATGTTAACATAAGATAATGTAAATTATAATAATTTGTGTATGTTTCAGCAGCTCCATTCGGAATATAGGAGCACTTACACATGGCACGAATACAAAGGACCGCACCAGGAAGCCGTCGTGCGGCGACCACCACAAGCGCCTTCGAGTAAGTTCAAGAAGAAAAAGATATAAATAACATTACGAAACACGGTAGCTTCTCTTAGAATTTTCATTGAATAATAAATGCATATATTCAAGCCGTTTTCTTCACGATCAAGATAAATGTTTATTTTACTTTGTAATTTTGACAAATATTTAAATTATTCTTCAATTATCAAAGAGCTATTAAAAAAACAAAGGGAGTAGAAATTTATAGGAAAATTATACTTAACAAAAGATTTAATTTTGTTCTAAATTTATTTACTTTAATGAAAAATAAATAAATAAGTAAATAAATTAATTAATTAATTAGTTTATTTATTTATTTATTTATTTAATACTAAATAATTATTAATTAAGTATTAAATTTTAATTCATTTATTTTAATTATTATAATTCAGTAATATATTAAATTTTATTTTATTTATTTTAAATTTTTAATTTAGTATTTAACTATTATTAATATTAAATTTTTAATTTTATTCAAACATAGCTTTATACTGAACATAATAAACAAAAAAAAAATTATAAAAACATAGTTGTCATTTGTCAAGAATTTAAATCACGGTAAAAAAATTAACAACTAATACAACAATTTTTGTATATTGATATTAAAAGAATTTTGAATTATCATCATTAATAATTTATTTCTTATAACTATTGTTATTCAAAAATTATTTTTGTAAGCATTGATAACTGAAACTGAATGTATGCATTTAATATTGTCATGAGTCGAGGTCTGAAAAAATACAATTTTCCCAAAAAATTAAAATTATAACTTGTAATTCTTAAGTAAATTAAGATTGTTTGTTTTTTAAAAAAATTAATTAGTTCAATAATATAGTAAATAATTATAAATATTAAAAGTTATAAATAAAAATAAGTAATGAAAAAAAATAATAAATAAAAGAAGAAATAAAAAGAAATAAAAAGAAATAAAAAATAATTTTTAAAAATTTTTTCAATTATTTTGAAAAAGTGTTTGAATTTTTCTAAACAACATATTATGAATATATGAATTATATTAATTTCCGATGAATATTTTTATAAAGTATTTTACATTTTGAAAAATAGAATAAAAATTTGAGCACAAATTAAATTTCTCATTTAACTTTATATTTAAATGGAAATTGCATTTTCAGCATCGTTGAGCTTTGTCAATTTAAAACTTTTGTCAAACTTATACAACTAATTTTAACTTTCATCTTACATTTTGTATATATATATATATGACAAACAGAAATGCGAAAATTTTTAAATTATTTAATTTCCAAAGAAATAATTTAAAATGCGCATAAACTTTCGACTCACGATTATTTAATTAAATTTTTTTTATACTCGGATTTCACTGTGCTTAGTTTTATTATTGTGTTTTTCTTGTTCTTGAAATAATATAGTCAACACAATCTAGCACTCATTCTAATACACTGAATTCACAATTTTTATATATGTAATTGTTCAAATGGAAAAAAAAATTTTTTTTCTCAATTTCGATGTTGTCTTCAATGTTATTGTTTTCTTCAAATAAGACACGTTTTTTTGCTAGAGTGTGTTTTTTACAATGTGTTTACATTATAATTCATATATATATATAGTTAATTAGATTAAATGAAAAACGAAACATAGATTTTTTTCTGTAATTTAATATTTCTCTATATAGATTCTCTTTTCTTAAGGATGCTAATTAATTTTACAGATTCGATATTAGAAGATAAAGAGACTTTTGTATAAAATTAGAAAATATACGAATTCCTCTGAATCTATTAGTTTTGCTCCTAGTTCCATAATTTTTATTTCACATCAAATTTTTTCTACAAACTTAGCCTTTAGAAAAGAAAAATTAAGTCGCAGAGTGAAACAAGAGAATATATAATACAAATAAAATAATTTTATTTTCCATAATCAGAAAAAAAAATGTTCGTCTTTTAAATTCGTTTTTTCTTTCATAATCATCGAATATTAACACAAAATACAAAAGGATATTTATCATCATTAACATAGGTTTGCAAAAAACCTTAATTCATTAATTTGAATTTATTTATTCAAATAGTAAAGTATAGAAAAATTCCAATAAAAAATCAATCAACAAAAAAAATTGCTTCTATTGAAGAAAATTTAGATTTTGCCGCATTGGAAAAAATTAGCAACAAAGAAATTATTAATGGTCGAGCGACAAAATTGAATTATTTTGTAAAAGATAAAAATAAAACAAATAGAAATCAAGAAGTGAGAATAGAAAAAGAATTAAAAATTAAAATACTAAGAAGGGAAATATTCATCTTATTTCTGTTAGTCAATAAACAAAACAAATAAATTATTTTATGAATTTTTATAAATTAGAAAAGAGAATAAAATAGAAAAAAAAATAAGAATAATTAGCCCTTTATTTATGTAAATAAATAAAATTAATAAATAAGAAAAAATATAAAAAATAAAAATGAAAATACTAAGAATAAGAATAATCACCCTTTTCATTTAAGTAATTAAATAAATAGGAAAAAAGAAACAGACAAATAAAAATTAAAAATAAAAAAAATGCAAAGAAAAAAAGTTAAAATATAAAAAGTGAAATAAAAAAATTAGTATTATTTTTAAATTAAAGAAAAATTAATTAGAAAATTTAATTAAAGGAAAATAGAAAAGTTAATTTTTTCCGAAACGGCAAAATTTTTAGTTACTAGAAGCAATAAAAAAAAGAATGAAAATATAAAGACACACACACGAGCCAGCTGCGAAATTTTGATTGCAGCAAAACAAGTGAACGCGAAGCTTCAAACCGCCAAGTCAACTGAGGATGAAAATAGCGAAGGTAAGATTTAAGTGACCCGAGCTACACAAAAACATGAATAATTAAGTATTACTAAAAAATTATGTCCCAAAAAATTGTCGAAATTTCTACAGGCATTTACTTTATTTACACACATTCGTCACTATTTAAAGCGAATTAGTATTTTCTTTTTTTTCTTACCCCTCCGCATTGCTACATTAAAATATATTTTGAAAAGTGCACAATATTTTTTCTTTTTAAAGCATTTTGGTGCTTTGAAAAAAATTTCAGTTGTGTAAAATCTTATCCCTGGCACTTGAGCGAGGTTTATTATTTACGATTATCGTATATAATTGTAGACAAAATGTGCTTAAGTAGTTTATTAACACACACTAGAGGAAATTGATAATAATATTTTATATTAATTTTGTATTAATTATATTATATTTTTATATTTTATATTAATAATAATAATATTGTTATTAATATTTATTAATTTGATGTGTAGTTGTATTTTAAAACTCTGTGGCCACTTAAATAGTGATGTGATTATGAAACAAAAATATTTTCCTTTTTTTTATAGCTTTTGTTGAGTTGAATCTTACACTGAAAGGAAGAATGTAGAATGTGGTTTTATTTAGTTTATATTAAATATTTGAGGAAAGTCTGGTCGTCAGACAGTTTGCTGAACTGATAGAATTCTTTGCATATTACTGCATTTTAAGAAGTAAAAGACGGTTTTAGTCAGACAGGGGTCGATTACGTAATTTTATTTCTACTTTGACTTTCATTTTCGCTTTCATTTTTACATTCACTTTTAACATTTTTATTTTCATTTATTATTATAATTATTATTAAATTTATTTTTAAGTAGTAAAAATTAATTTTAATTAATTTACTGATGCATTAACTTGTCCTATCAGTGGAAAAAGTATATTTTAGTAAGGCAAACTATTACAAATAGCGTTTATTTTATTTTTCAGTAGTGAAAATTAAGTTTAGTCAGGCGAGTCTACGTGAAAAATTGTGAATTCGTTTTTTTAGTAGTACAACTGATTTTAGTCAGACTTCCTGGGTTAGTAGTAAAAGTATCGGTTTTAATCAGACCGAACTATTTTTCTGTGGAAAAGTTATGTATTATTAGTGAAACTTCATCTAATCAGTAATAAAAATTACTTTCATTGAAAAATTACTTAGAATTACGTAAAAATGACTATTTTTCGACTTTTAAGTTTCATCATCAGTAGTTTAAATCAGTTTTAGTAAAATAGTCGTTCTTGTAATCATTTTAATTCCTTATTAAGTAGTAAAGATCAATTTTAGTCAGACACTCGTTTTTATAATAACAGTTTTATTCCTTAATAAGTAGTAAAGTTCAGTTTTCGTCAGACAAACTTTTTTCTAACAGGCTAATAATTTCGAAGTAGTCAAAGACTGTTATAGTCAGACACATGCTTGTAATATACAATAATAATACAACCTAATATTTTTAAAAGTAGTATAAACTATTTCTAGTCAGACGTCCTTTTTTCAAAAATCACATTACATTGTTTCTCAGTAGTAAAAAATGGTTCTGGTCAGACGCGGCCTTCCAGGTGGGAATAATGTTACCCGCAGTAGTGTAGATCAATATATAGTCAGACATTAGTCTTTCTAAATGGTGCAATATTCTTCTGTTAGTAGTAAATTTATCTTTTAGTCAGCCATGCATTTTATTATCTACTAAATAACTAAATAATACTGAAACTTTTACTGAAAATACAAAAAAATAATAAATAAAACTGAAAAGTAAAAGTTTGATAAAAGTCTTTTACTAAAAAAAGAAAGTAAAAACTAAAAGTCTACTAAAAGTCGTAGTATTTAAAGAGTAAAGGTTAATTCTACTCATACAGGAAATACTCCCTGTATGTAATTTTCCCAGAAGTAGTATAAGAATGTTATAGTCAGACACGCCTTAACTTTTCTCAGTAGTAGAAAACTGTTTCAAGTCAGCCACGGTATTCAAAGTGCAAATAAATATAAATTGCAGTAGTATAGGTCAATTTAAGGCAAACAATTTTTTTTCAACTCAGTATTATTTTTTTTCTTTAAAACTCTTTTTTTTGAAAATCACAAAATGTTGCATGTTATTGAATCACATCACACTAAATGCAGTTATTCAAAATTTTAAATTAACATTCTACTTTATAATCACAATATATATGTATAGTCACATTTTAAATAAAATAAGCACCGAGAGTTTGTACCTACAATAAAGTAGGAAATGCTTTCAGTATATTTTTTTCCTTGCATTTCAAAAAAAAAGGAAATATAGCACAAGGAGACTTTTTTTTATAAAACCGTAAATCAATCGTTGAAACGCTTTCGCTTCACTTTGCAAAAATAAATTTTTTTGCTTGAAATAAAAGGCATAGGTATGTAAATTGAATTTATTTGTATCAAAATGTAACCTTTAAGAGACCTGAATAAACACTTTTTGCTTCTTTTCTATTTAATAAAATCAAATGAATGAGTTAAAATATTCTATTTGAAAACAAGTAATTTTTAATAACTTAAATTAAATTACTTTAATTATTTAAAAAAGAATATAAATTTCAATTTATTTTTTCTTTTTTTAACTTTATAAGTGTTACTCTTATGTAAGCGTAGTTTAAAATTTTTTCCAAACCAAAACTCTCGTATGTATAATTTTTTTCTTCTACTTTTAAAACAGCAGTAAAAACGGTTGCTCCTAAAATTTTAATGTCAGACATAAATGTTGAAAATTCAGTCAGACATAAAAGTCAAAAATTCAGTCAGACTTGAAAAAGTTCTAAAAGACGATGGAATCAAATATAAAAATGAAATTTAAATCTTTGCTGGAAAATTTAAATTTTTCTCCTAAATATCTAAACATTTTTTGAATCTTTTGTAACTATTAAATTTGTAATTATTATAATTTGTAAATAACTATTCTAATTTTCCTATTTTAACTAAATTGTAATTTCAAGATTTCAACTAAATTGCAACTATTAGGTACATATTTTAAATTCTTCCACTTTTTTTCCACAAAAATATTTTTTATACAAAAAGGAAGAAGGAAGAAAATATAAAACAAAACCATATCATATAACACCATTGGAAAAAAGTATTTATTTAATAGATTCCGTTTTGTTTATCTGGACTTATAAACAATAACCGGATAAAGGCTGAGTTTGGTAGTTCAATAGTTTGAAATTTTTTTCACAGTAAAGCTGATTCTTATATTATCTATATTGTCAGCATTAACATACTTGACAGTCATAAATTAAAAATATCACTTTTTTCCATAAAAAAATTAAAGTAATAAATAATATACTAATTTATCAAATAATCGAGTAAAAAATTCTGACAATATATCTTTTAAGTTTTGTAGTGTTACGAATATTCTGTAATATTTTATTTTTTTATAGAAATCACGCATGCTTCTGACGCTTATCACCATTATTTATATATATATAACATAGTTTCTAAATATTTGATAATTATTTAAAATATTTGATATTTTTAATTACCGTATATTGTAATCTGTGGATTTAATAAAATATTCCAGCACTCACTCTTGCGGTCTTTATCTGGTTATGGTTTTGTCACATAAAAGTCAAATAAAATCATTTGAAAAAATTATTTTAAATGAAAAGAAATTTAAATTTAAATTAAAAAAGCAGTTAACAAAAAAATTATTGAAATTGAAAATTAAAACATTAAAACTATATGAAAAAATTGGAGACTCAGTCTGATGGGGATCGAAAACCCAGGACCTATGTTTGTGAATAGTTCCGGAAAAGTTCGAATAAAATTATAATTAATTGATTATTAATTGTAATAAATAAATTCATTGTTAATTGTTATAGTAATTAATAATTATTAGGTTTTTAGTTAGGTAATTATATTAATTCTTAATTGTTAATTCAATGATCAATAATAATTAATAAACGAATTATTACTAATTAAGAATTTTGTGAAAATGAAACTTTATGAATTAATTATTAATAATATAGTTAGTTATTAATTAATTTAGTAATTATTAATAAAGTGATTATTAACTTATTTATTATTACTTTATGTCATTGTTAAATACTTTAAAATACTATTTGTTAGTTTATAATTCATTGATATTATTATTACATTTATTATAAATTTATTTATTAGCAATAATCAATTATTAGTTAATTTTAAATTTATTTATATTTAACCAGTAGTATTTTAGTGGAAATTCTCTTTTTAAAAAACTGATATTTATTTGACTTTTAATTGCAATGTTTATTGCTAAAATGTTATTGTAAAAAAAATTGTATTAAATTCAGAGAATTTTTTTTTATTGGTTTATTTTTTCATTTTTAGGACCTACCCTAGAACCGCCATTACCGAGAAGAAAGAAATGTCCGGAACTTGCCTACAAAACACACGAATTCATTACTGCTGCTGACGGAGGTGGAATCGATGGCGTCGATTCAAACGTCGTGGCTGATAAAGTTAGGGTAAGATAAAGACAAAAATAAAAAAAAAGTCAATTTTCATAAGTGGATAATTTTAACTTTTTATTATTTTCTAAATTACATCTTTCCTATTTCTAACGTCGTAGAGCTGATAAAGTCAATAGTTTAATTAAGGAAAAATGTTACGAAAAAAAGACAAAAATAAACAAAAATCGATTTTTACATTAGGTTAATTTTAACTCTAATAAATATTATAAAAGAATATCAAATAATCTTGAATGAATGAATGAATGAATCTTGAATGAATTGTTTTTTAAGTTTTTTAAACAATAATATTAAAAAATAAAAATTATTTTATTAATCCATAAAGAAAGTTGATTATTCAAATATTTTCTTATTTAAACATTTGAGCGGTTTGAAACATCAACGTAATTTCATCTTCCTTACAAAACCAGTAAAAAAAAATGAAAATGAAAAATCCACGAAAAGAAATGCGAGAGCAAAAATTAAATATAAAAATAATTCTACCACTCAACATGAACATTTACCGCAAAAGGTAAATTAAATTTTAGGTCAAGTGATAGTTTTACAATAGAATTTAAACACAAGAAATCAAATATAGAGAATGCAATATTTTTTTAGCTTTTATTTGAAAAAATTAAATTTATTTCTGAATAAAACGAGAATATATTAAAAATTCACTTGACATATAAAAAATTCTATCGTATTTGTATCTATAAAGTTTTTTTTTATAACTGTCTTTTTTCAAATTAGTATCATTTTAATTAATCTCTTTCTAAATATCACATTATTTATAGTATTTTGTTTTAAGCTCTTGGGAAATTATTTTTATTTATAAGCTTTATTTAAAAACTCTATTCATCAAATTAAGGCTTACAACAACATTTTCTTTTAATATGAAAATATTAATTATTTAATATTTTTCTTTTGCTCTTTTATAGTAACTGCTCTCTAAATTTGAATTGATAAAAATGTTTATTAATTGGAATTAGTGACTGACATTTTGTCTTTGAATTAGTAAATTTTATTAATAAATGAGCAATTCAATTTACATAAATAATAAAATTCATTAAAAAAAATTCAATTATTTTCATAAATAAAAAAATTTTTCCCAAAAGTTCAATTATTTTTTCATAAATAAACAAATTTCAATTATTCTATAAAATTTTGAAAACAATTATTCCAAGAAATAAAATTATTTTCAACAATTTTCATCAAATTCTTTATAAAAATTAAATTATTTTTTTCAATATAATTCCAATCAAATTACTGGATTAACTTAATTATTTTCAGAAATTTAAAATGTTAAGTTTAATTAAAATTTTTATATCTCAATTTTTTCATTAGATTTTTAATTTCTTTGGACTTTTTGACCAGGACACAAAATCCAAAAAATAAGTCCAAAGTGAAACTGTTTTTTTTTTACTATTTTAGATTTCATTTACTTTGGACTTTTTGTTTTGGACTTCTTGTCCGGATACCGTTGAAAAAAATTGAAATAAAGAATTTTTACTTTCAAAATAGAGAGGAGGGATAAAATAAAAATTAACACTAAAATAATAAAAGTTTTTTTTTGTCAGATTAATTTTTTTAAATATTTTATTTCTTTTTGTACTATAGGGTAACATAGAGTCAGGGTTATATTCCTTTAGAATATATTTATTTTTACTAAGAATATTAATAAAAATTTATTTAAAAAATGGAAAATCTATATTAAAAATTATATTGGTGGTGGAAAATTTGGACTCAATTCGATAAAATTTTAATTCGGTGAAATTAATATTCACTTTAGATAATAACGCGATGAACGGATTTGTAAGAAAATTCCTAAGAATAATAAAATTAAAACAAGGGTTTTACTTTTTTCATTATAAGAAAATAAAAAAAGAAAGATGAATTCAAGGAGAAGAATTGTTTTTTCAGGAAGTCACGACGACGTCAACGATTCCATCGAATCAATTAAGTAAGGCAATATCACGAATCAGCACCGAATATCGTTTACAATTTGCTTGGCCAAAAAGGCAACAATTGACCAATGGGGAAGTGGCACTACCTGTTGCAGCTGCTGGCAGCACGGGACCTCCGAGAAAATCACTCAGCATGGGAGCACTGAAACAGGGAATTCAAACTGGGCCAGCTCCAGTTCACCGGAAACGTCCCGGGGACATTGATCACAAGCGAGATGGTTAGTAAAATCAAAAATTTTAAAATATCTTTCAAAATAATTAAATTATCCATTATGAATTAGCAATAATTAATTATTAATCATTATATTAATACTATTTAAATATATGTTAATAATGATTGAATTGTTACAAATCTAACCAGAAAATTAAATATTTAACTTGAAGACAGAAACAGAGAGAGCATGAATACAAAAATAACAAAACACAGAATTATACGAACACATTAAATATATTTATCTCTTTTACATTGAATCATTTTGTCATACTGAACTCTCTCAATCTTGCGCTTAGCAATCGTCTCCAAAATCATTCGCCTGTTTTCGGCCCTTTTCGCAAACCCCGATTTCCTTATCACTCCCACCACATACTCGCTCACTCGTTCTCTCAACATTCTCCCACCTTGAGCTAAGCTCAATTAATTTTTCACAAATCTGGGTTTAATAGTTCTACCACTTCGAGTTACATATGGTTTTTTAATTTCATTCGTTTCAATCGAGCACTCATTTTTTCGTAGTACATCAACTTCATTGTTCTTTTTCGGGCGAATTTTGTCAATTTTCTCTATGATAACCTTTTCCGTAGTTTCTCTCTCATTTACAATTGTATGATCTACTTCCAACGGATACAACCGTTGTATAGGTCGAGTCAATTCTCCATTCGCAGTCTTTACTTTGTAAACCCTAACATGACCATCATGTCCCTTTAACAAATCAACTATTCTTCCCAATGGCCATTCTAAACGCTTTTTGTTCTCGCTTCCGATAAGTACTAAATCGCCAAATTTTAACTCACGCGATTCTTTAAATTTCAAATTTTCCCGTAACTGCCCTAAATATTCATTACGGAATCGTTGCCTCAAATTTGATTTAAGCGTCTGCAAGTATCGCGAGCGCTCTCGAATGTCAGTAATCTGCAATATGTCCAAATCCGGTACACCGATTTCTGGCAATTCCCTCAAAAACATATTAGGCGTTAACGGCGTCAAGTCAGAAATGTCATTTGACATGTAAGTCAAAGGTCGAGAATTTATTATCGTTTCGCAATCACACAAAATAGTAAGCATATCTTCATAATCAACAGAGGCCTTTGCCAAAATTTTCCGTAATAATTGTTTTACAATTCTTATAAGACGCTCCCACCATCCTCCCCACCATGGAGCAGATGGTGGATTAAAATGCCACTTAATTCTCTGAACGGAGCTATTATTTACAATATTGTCCCAATTCAATTTTTCAAGATCATTTTCTGTGCCTACAAAATTTGTCCCATTGTCCGTGAATACGTCACTCGGTCTACCTCTTCTCGCTATGAACCTACATAAACCTTTAACGAAAGATGGCGTTGACAATGATGATAACAATTCCAAATGTATTGCCCTATAAACCGCACATGTAAACAAACACACGTATACTTTCTTATTTCCCCTTAAGTACAGAGGTCCCGCTAGATCGATACCCACTACCTCAAACACAGCAGCGTCCCTCACCCTCTCCAATGGCAAAGGTGATTTTTCCGATTCCATTCTTTTGACATTATAACGTTTACATGTTACACATCTTGAAATCACCGAGCGAACTTTTCGTCGCACGGATAAAATCCAATATTTATCCCGCAAAGTGTTAAGCAAAATATGTGCATGCGCGTGTTTGAGATTGCGGTGCGTTTCCTCTATCAATCGTAAAGAAATACAATGTGCGGAATCCAAGACAATAGGACAACGAAAATTTCTATCATCTGGACGATTAAAAATCTTTGTTTTTACTCTCAATAAATCATTTTCATCTTTAAAAACATTAAGATATTTTAACTTATCGTCATTTTCATTTATAAACATTTCTTTTTGTGCTAACTTTAATACCGACATTTCAGAATTTGCAATTTCCTCACTAGTTAAAAATTTTGTTAAAATTCTTTTTTCTTTATCACAATTTTTTATTTTTACATTGAAATTGAATCTACGTAACCAAGCAACGATTCTAACAATTCTATTAAACTCAGAATATCGAGAAAATAAATCACAACTATTTATAGATTTCGAATTTACAATTGCTGACAAACTTACCGCAGTTCTGCGTTTCTCACTATTTATTTCATTCTCGTCGATCTGAAGTTCTGCACTTGGCCACTCACTTCGAGGTAATTTCAACCAGCTCGGTCCCTCCCACCATCTCGAAGTAGACAGTTGTAATGCATTACAACCTCGTGATGGCAAGTCAGCCGGGTTCTCCGTTCCCGGAACATGTTTCCACTCTGATCCAGAAGTAAGTTTCCTTATCTCCTGCACTCGATTCCACACAAATATGCTCCACTGAGCCTCACGCTTGATCCATGTCAGAACAGTGGATGAATCCGACCAATATACTATTTCAGGATTTTCAAGGTGAAATGTTCCTATCAATGTATTTGTCAACCTTGCTGATATCGCCGCTGCTAGCAATTCTAGTCGAGGAATAGTCGTATTTTTCGTTGGTGCCACCCGCGATTTCGCACCAATCAACTGAACTTCAACATTGTTACCTGTTTCCACTCGAATAAACACAGCCGCGGCATATGCAACACCACATGCATCAGAAAACGAATGAAAACTTATAATACTTTTATCCTTGCTAATGCCGAGTTGTCTCGGTATTTTAACAGAACTTAGATCAGATAAACATTTAAACCACTTAAGAAAATCATTTTTCACTTCACCTTCTAGTTTTTCATCCCAATTGATATTTTCCTTCCACAGATTCTGAATCATGAGCTTAGGTAGCAACATAACCGGACACGTAAATCCAATTGGATCGAAAACACGCTGAGCCACAGATAAAATCGTTCTTTTTGTTAGACTATCAATCCGCACATCCTGCAACCATGACAGATTGACAGAAAGTCCATCTGTGACTTTATCCCATAACAGTCCCAATACAGAAGTTTCACTTTTATTCAAGTCCCCAGCAAACTCCCACCCTCGAAGGTCAAAGCCTGCTGTTTTTAAAACATCAGTGGCTTCATCTTTAAATAAATGCAGTTCCTCCATCGAGTCAACACTTGTCACGCAATTGTCAGAATAAAAACACTCGCGCATCTTCTCAATAATTGCTTTTTTCGAACTTGATTTAAAACTTCCCTCTAAAATGTTTTTTATATGTAATTTAATAGTAGCTCCTAATAAAAAAGGACTACATGTCAAGCCAAAAACAACTCTTTTATGACGAAATGCTATCATTTCACCATCACGGAACCAAAAAAATCGCAAATAGTCACGTTCACCGGGAGCAACACTAATCTGTAGAAATGCCGCTCGGATATCAGCAATGACCCCCACTTTTCTCTCTCGAAATTTCAACAGAACCGACGGTATCAGCTCAATCAAATTAGGCCCCTTCTCGAGACACTGGTTAAGAGATGGAAAATTTTTCTCCCTCGCTGACGCATCGGCAACTGGTCGGATTCTCGTTGTACTGCTACTCAGCTTAATCACTGGATGATGAGGTAAATAGTGTGACACATTATCGAGTTCATCTTCAGGTACTTTCTCGATTATGTCATTCTTTTCCCATTCGATGAAAACCTTGTCGTATTCGTCAAACAAACCACACTTTTTTAATTTTTCTTGCGTATTTTTCAGTCTTTTTATCGCAAGATTTTTGTTTGACGAAACTGGCGGGTGATCTTGATTCCAAGGCAAAAGAACTTCATATCTGTTATCGTCATTCAAGGTTGTTGTTTCTTGGAATCTTCGTTCGACGTCTGCTTCTCTCTCAAGTTTTGTTTTTCTCCTTGCCGGATCATCAATACCTATAATATCCAAACGCCAAAGGTCAGATACAGTCGACTCCTCAACATTCATTTCATTAACTAATAAAATTGTATCACACCTTGATTGAACCGTTGAATTTTTCCCCATAATCGTCCAACCCAAATGTGTCTCCACAGCTGTCAAACCATTATCCAAATCGATTTTCCTTCCTGTCAGCAACTTTCCAGCAACGTCTGCCCCAATGAGGAGATCTACAGGCCGCTTGCCTTCTCCAATATCAGAAAGATGCACACCCTTGTCACGAAGTTCTTGTACCCATTCAGCTGGTTTAATTCGCGCGATGTCATCACAGATGATCTTTTGATCCATTGCCTCAATATCACATGTGTAATTATCTCTTAGGTTTTTTACACGAACTAAAAACACCTTATGCGATTGAGGCTCAGATCTGGTGCCTCCAAAGAGTGAGTGAGACACCTGTCGAGTCTGGATCGGAGTATAATTTAATTTCCTAGCGACCTCTTGAGCCAGGTAAGATCGCTGTGAACCACTGTCAATCAACACACGCACTACACATTCTCGACTTCCGTTGACCATTTTCACACACAATGTTTGCAGATAAATTTCAGGAGCACTCGACAAACTTGCAAAATTGTTAATATCATTTATTTGAATTTTCGCGCCTGCTCCACTTTCACTACCCTCATATTTAACCTGTCCAGGACACATCAAAAGAACGTGCTTTTTACAACACCAACCACATTTCACTTTGGACCGACAGTGTTTGTAATTATGGCCTGGTTTCAAACAATTAAAACAGTTACCAAGCTCCTTAACAACAACACGACGCTCCTTCAATGACAACTTTTTTGCCTTGTAACAGTTCTGGCTATCATGGTCACTTTTTTCACAAAAAATGCACTCTAAAATTTTTTTCTCTTGAATAGTTAATAGTTCCACTGCAGTTGCCACTTCACAAGAATCTTCTTTAACCTTTTGCCGTTTACTCTTCTCAGATACTCCGAACGAAAATCCAGCAACAGCCATACTGATTCTTTCCTCATTTTCAACTTCAGCACATAAAAATTCCATCAACTTAGTCAAACGAGTTTTTGAATCCTTCGCATTACTTGCTGTTTGTAAACGCTGCCATACTCTCAAAATATCTTCAGGAAGAGATGATTCCACTAAGGGATAAAGCATAGCCGCGCATTTGTCGGATGTTACTCCCAAAGTTTCCAGTGCTCTCATGTGTGCTTCCAATTTATCGTACAATGTAACAAGAGAAACCTTATCTTTTCCTCGTACTACGTTATTCAAAACCAGACTTAACAACTCTCGTACATATACTTCGACTTGAAGCTCGTCTCGTCCAAACCGATTTTTTAAGCTAGCGATAACGTTTTCATAATTCTCTCTTGTAGGTGGAAAACTGCTCACCAATTCGTAAGCTCGAGATTTAGTTTCCATAGATTGTATTAGGTGTTGAAACTTATCCTCTGCATCAATATCCGGATCCTCGTGTATTTTTCGAAACTGATTCCAGAACATTAACCAGTCACGCACATTTCCAGAGAATTTTACTATTTCTATTTTTGGCAGTTGAAACGTCTTCCTGTTATTTTGATGAACCGAAATTGGACTTGATAAAACACTGCCTCTTGAAACCTGCGTTTGTTCCAACAACTTAGTTACAGTCCTTTTTGCAGCAAGAAATCGTTTTCGATATTCGTCAGTAGACGCTCCTTCAGATTCAAATATGGCGGCAATATCCACGCTTACATCAAGGGAAAGAATAGCATCCAACACCAATCTCGAAGATTTATCTAGATCGGTCATTTTTTCTTCCAACAACTCAAACACAACAGCGATCTGATCCTTGTCCAATTCATCTCTTTCCAATATTGCATTCATTTCGCTGAGTGTTCTCGTGAATGCCGTTCGGTGGATCGTTCGAGTTCTCTTCAAGGCGTCCATCTTGGCCACGTTTTTCGACAGAAATTATTCACTTTAAATTCTTCAAGAAAAACTACGTCACGGTCGCCACAATGTTACAAATCTAACCAGAAAATTAAATATTTAACTTGAAGACAGAAACAGAGAGAGCATGAATACAAAAATAACAAAACACAGAATTATACGAACACATTAAATATATTTATCTCTTTTACATTGAATCATTTTGTCATACTGAACTCTCTCAATCTTGCGCTTAGCAATCGTCTCCAAAATCATTCGCCTGTTTTCGGCCCTTTTCGCAAACCCCGATTTCCTTATCACTCCCACCACATACTCGCTCACTCGTTCTCTCAACAGAATATTAGTTAAATAATTAAAGAATTAAAAATAATAAAAAAACGTAAAACAAAAATAATCATGGTAATAAAATTTAAAAAAATTTTCCCAAGGAGCACAAGCTTCAGAATTGGAGCCACTCGTGACAGGTAACACAATGGATACCATCGATAGTGTTGTTCTAGAGTGTGACGAACATGAGGAGAATATACCGGATTTAAAAATTACCTACAGGTTAGAAAATTTATAGAAAACAAAAAAAATAATTTAAATTGCATTTTCTATTTCTACTTCCAAAAATTTTTACATTTTGTTCGTAATTAATTTTTTTCCAATTCAATTATTTATATACCTACTTATATAAAAAAAAAAATTGTCTCCTAGCAAAAATTTCTTGGAGTAAATAAAAATTTTATTCTTTTACACTGAAAGATAAATTTTGTCTTTTTCAGTTTCATTTTATTTTTTAAAAAATTACACTCACAGTTTGAATAAAGAAATGAGTATAATTTAATTTTTTTCTTCTATTTTTCTGAAGAAAAACAAAATTTAATATTCAAAGTGAAAATTTTTAATTATTCATATTTTTTAATTACAGAGGTAAAAAACCTGGTAGAACTGTTAAAATAGTAGACAATGTTGATGTTGAAATGAAAAAGGAGAAATCTTTACCGAAAACTAATGTAATTGCACTTCGTCAACTCGCTGATGAATATAAGGTAAAAAGTAAATTAACAAATTTTCGTATAGCCATAAAAAAAAAGTGTTAACATTAATTTAAAAAATGTTATCAAATATTACTTTAACAAAATTTACAAAAGATTTCAATTTTCTACATTTTCTTTTTTTTTTTTTTTAAATTCAGAGAATTAAAATTTATCAATTTAAATTATCAACACTTTTTGTAACATTTTTTTTCTATATCAATATATCCAGTCATTTAGGTCACAAAATAAAAATGCCAGATATGCAAATCGAATATACCTTTATATACATATATATATATATATATATATACTATACGTACCTACATATATTCAGATTTGCAAGTAGATGCAGATGAGTCAAGTCAGCCGAGCGGAAGCAAAGTCTCTCCGCTGCTTGTTAAATAAAATTGATGATTACAGATTATTGCACGAAAAAAAATTTATCCCTCTCAATCGATATTCGACGGGGAATAAAAATATTGCAAATAGAAGGAAATAAATTTATTACTGTAATTTTTATAATATTTAGTCATTTTTTAAAATTACAATATAATAATTTATAGTAATAATAATATTTTGTAGTAACTATAATTATTTATAAAAATAATAATAATAATAATAATAATAATAATAATAATAATAATAATAATAATAATAACAATTATACTAGAATAATAATAAAAATTATAATAGTTACAATTAACATTAATAATAATTATTGTTAATTAAAACATCTACCATCTTTTAATTAAAAATCTGTCTTCTCAAATTTATTAACTAATAATTATTATTGTTATTATTATAAATATTTTTAATTTTTATAAATTATTAAAATAAAAAATATTATTATTTATTTTATTGGCATGATAATTAATTTAAATAATTTATTAGCATCGAGACTGGGGATGCGGACTGACGAGAGAAGACGAAGCATCTTTATGGAAACGAGTCTCCAGTAATCATGCTCTTAACGCACTTTCACTTGCCAGGCTAGTAACAAATAATAATCGAAATATCATTTTTTTTAAAGTAGATAAATTTATTTTAAAATCTTAAAAAATAAATTTTTATTAGAAAACAAATTTATTAAGCATGAATATTGTACTTTAAAAAAAAACATTATATGAGTTACCACGAAATGATAACTTTTGACAACGGTAACTATTTAAAAAAAAAATTAATTTTTTGTCAATTATATCAGTAAAAAATATAGTGAAGATTAATTGTACAAAAGTTTGAAGCAGATTTGAAAATAATTTTTAATTAAATAGAGAACAGTGGAGAATGAAAAGTGTTCACTGAGTGAAGAATCACCCATACGTAAAATTTCCCCGTATTTTCAAATTTTCTTGTTCAATATAAAATAAAATTATTATATAGATATTCCAGCTATTCTAAATTTTCTTTTTTTAATAAAAAATAAAATTATTTCACATACCAATTGTTTTAAAAAATTTATTTTGGTCAATACAATATAATTTATTATGAGCGAACAAACTTGAGGAGTTATATTTCCAAAAAGAATCAAAATTCGAAGTTAATAAGAAAAGTTGCTTTTTTTGGCACAAATAAAATTTTTTTTTACCTATATATATATAATAAATAAATAAAAAAAAATTTTATTTTAATAGATAATTCTTCCGGCAAATAAAATCACATTTGTGATATTAAATTGAATTTTATTTTACTGAATTGCAGTAGGTCGGTAACAAAAGCGGAGAAGGAAAAGGAAAACACGAGAAAAGTTGATCCAACAAGGCCAGCTGCTGGAAGGCCATCTTCAGTACCAGTAAAATTAATTCACCAAATTCTCTGCGATGACATCAAAGCGGTTAGTTTACAAAAAAAAATAGCTAAATAATTATTATTTATAAAAAAATTTACAATTTTCCATTTTACTTATTCTTTTAGTTATAATAACAATAATTTTTAGATTAATTACAATAATTTTTTTTTTGCAATACAATTCATTGTTAACTTAAAAGTATCAAATTGCAACGAATTGATATAAGAAATGTGGAATAAAAAATTAATCCAAATTTTTGACATTAATTTGATACGTTCAAGAAAACTGTTAAGAAAAAACAATTCTGCGGCTTTTATAAAAATACAATTTTGTTAAAAAATCAAAATAACAGATATATTTACTTATAAATAAATTTGTAAATAATATTTTTCAGGATAATGATAAAGCTATTGCTCATGCAAAAAAAGATTTCTTAATTCGTCATCATCTCGATCGCACTACAGGAATCGGTAAGTTTAAATTCTATATTCAATTTCTTATATTTTAATTCGAAAACAAAATTTATTATATTTTAGAGTATATTTTTTATTTTAAGACAATTAGTTATTATTAAATATTTATTTGTAGACATTTAAAGTAAAATTTATTATTTATGAGCGAACATAAATGATTGATATTATTAATATTTATATTTATTTATCGGCAATTAATTAAAGTACAATTTATTATTTAAAGACAATTATTAATTTTCTAGATTATTATTATATTTATTTATAGCAATTAATGCACTATTTATTACTTGTGGGCAATCAAAATTTTTAAAATTATTTATATTTATTTATAGTCAATTAAATATTTGCTATTGAGAAGTAATAAAAAACAATGTGAACTTTTAATTCAGAGAAATATATAATAATCCATTTTATTCCTTCTTCATACAAAAGGGATTGTATTTATTATTTATTTTATTGTTTTAATTAATTTTACAGCCCATTTTTCCTCTAAATATAAACATTTTTTTTAATTTCATTGTTTGTTTCTTTCTTTTTAATTTTATTTTTTTATTTGATCCTCTGATTTAGGGAATTTTTTTCTAAATTTTCTCAAAAAAAAAGAAAAAAATTTCGTTTTTCAAATGAATATTCGTATAATAAAAATAAAATGTAGAAGTAATTGTTGAGGGAAATTTTTTTCTCGTTTTGCGATTTTATTTTTTTCCGTGTATATTTTTCGATCAATTCTATTTTTAACTCCCTTTTTTTTATTTTATTTTTTCGTTTTTCTGTCTCTTCTATTTTTCATTATTTTATTGATTTTATTTTGTTTTTACATTTTTCTAGTATATTTTATTTTATTTCATTTTTACACAGGTTTAAAGAAATCATTTTGTACAAAAGTGCAATTTTTGTATTTTTTTTTTTTGAGTTTTATTTATTTTATATAAACCCGTTTACAAGTACAGTTTATCTTGAAAGTATCAAATTGATACTAAAGTAGATCAATGTGATACACTTCGGTTCGAGCTTTAGTATCAATTTGATACTTTCAAGAAAACTGTGGCAAAAAAGAAAAAAAGTTTAGAAGAAAAGCATTCTTTAAAAAAGAAAAAAAATACAAAAAATGAACCAAAGAAGAAAAATTTTTATCATTTAATATTTATTTTTCGAAGCGAAAAGAAATGAAAAATAAATGAAAAATAAATGAAACTTTAAAGGTGATGGAGCGTTACTTCCCTCTCCAACGAGAGAGAAATTGGAACCTGTGATACCTCGCCGACGCGATGAAGCAAAAGAACATCGAGATGAAATTCAACCAAGAATGAAATCCAGTCCGAAGAATAGTCCTCGAACTGGACGTTCGCAAAGTCTTGGACCAAGTGTTGCTGATCGAAAATCTCCTAAACGACAACCATCACGGACACCCTTGTCAGCAAAAGATGCTAAGGTATCAAATTTTTTATTTTATTTCATACTAAACTGAAACGTAAGAATTTTTTTACTCTCATTCCCCTTTTCATAACATTGTGTGATTCTCTCGAAATACTCGTCTCATAAATTCATGGAATTTCACTGTTAAAACTAATTTCGAATTCCTGTAATTGCTCGCAGTTGAGAAGTAGTAAATTTTACTATATATTCACCAGACGTAACATTTCGAAATTCATAAAAAAGTTTTCTAAGTGATAAAAGACAGTATTAGTCAGACAGGATATTTTAATGGCAAATTAGAAAGGTTCAAATGTACAAAGTAGTATAAAAATAAATTATCATCAGACTTAATTTTTTCTCATCGAATTAAATATTTTGTAAAGTAGTAAAAGTTAATGTCTACCGGAAATGCAATTTACAATTTTAGAATACATGTTAATTGCTTTCTAACTAGTAGAAATTAGTTTTCGTCAGAAAAATATCTTTCTGAAACAGTATGAAAGTATTTTAAATAAAAAATATCAGTATTAGTCGGACAAAACATTGCGGAATTTATAGAGATTACATTCTAAGTAGTAAATGTCGATTCTAGTCAGACATAATTTTTTGAAATCTAAAAATTTATATTTCATAAGTAGTAAAAGTCTAACAAAAGGTTTTACAACTCGTAAAAATGCTTTCTAAGCAGTAAAAGTAGGTTTATTGGAGGTCATAATTTCTTTAAATCCAAGTAAATGTGTCTTAAGTGGAATAATTCGGAATTAGTTAACCAAGAAGTTTCGTAATTTGATAAAGTGCTTCGCAAGTAGTTTAAGTACATTTTAGTCAGACGTAATATTTCCTTTTTTATTTTTAAATGTAATACAAGTGGAGAAACAAACAATATCTTTTAGAATTTAAAAAAGTACTTTTTAAGTAGTACAAATAAATTTTAGTCAGACGTAATGTTACATTAATATTTAAATGTTTAATAAGTGGAAAAAGTGGCTATTAGTCAGACAATGCGTTTTAGAATTTAAAAAAGTTCCTCGAAAGTAGTACAAGTACATTTTAGTCAGACGTAATGTTTCCTTTTTCATATTTAAATGTAAATTATAAGTGAAAAAACAAACAATACATTTTATAATTCAAAAAAAATTTTCCTAAGTAGTAATTTTTAGTCAGGCGTAATATTTCATATTTCATATTTAAATGCATTATAAGTGGATAAAATAATATTAGTCAGACAATACGGTTTAGAATTCGAAAAAGTACTTCTTAAGTAGTACAGATAAATTTTAGTCATCCGGAATGTTGCATTAATATTTAAATGTATAATAAGTGAAAAAATGTCTAATAGCGAGACAATGCGTTTTAGAATTCAAAAAGGTGTTTTTTAAGTAGTACAAGCAAATTTAAGTCAGACGTAATTTTTTATGCCATATTGAAAGATATTAGAAGTGGAAAAAATTAATATTATTCAGACAATGTCTTAGAATTCATATAATTTCTATGTAAGTAGAAGTCGTCAATTTTTAGTCAGACATATAATTTCCTTCAATTTAGAAAATTCTTTTAAAAGTAATTAAAATCAATCTTCAGTGTCAATTTATGATTCAGTAGTGTAGGTCAATTTTAGTGAGACCGACTGTTTTAATTCACAAACGAAATTAAAGAGAAATGTGGACAAAGGCAATTTCGTCTAAATAATAAAATACTGAAATTGACACATTGTTTTAATATCACTAAAAAACAGTAGACAAAGTCTATTTTTCATCAGACTGATCGTTTTAATGTCTGGAAATTAAATAAAAAATTGAAAAAATCAGTTTTTGTCAGACTAGTTTTTGTAAATTGAAATTTTTTTATTTCTCAGTAGCTTACAATTATTTTAGTCAGAGAGAAAATTTTTTCAATCGGAGACAAAAATATAACAGTAAAATTTATTGTAGTGGAACAAAAACAAGAAATCGTTTTGTAAGTTGAAAGTAGTAAAGATTAACTTTTGTCAGACAGTGAAATTTAATTTCTTGTATTTTTAGTGTATTATTACTAAAAATCAGTTCCAGTCAATTCGGAATTTCTATTTTATATAATTTTTCAAAGTAGTATTTGTCAATTTGCAGTCAGACAACATGTTTCTCGACTGGAATAGCATTCTTCCTCAGTAGTAGAGAATAATATTAGTCAGACATTGTCTTTTATTGCAAAATTCACATCTAGCAGTAGTATACTTCACTTTAAGTCAGACATACCCATTTTTCAATTTATTCGAAGTAGTACTAAACCTGCACTTTCAGTTTTTTATTATTCACATACGAAAGTAGTATAACTCAGTTATAAGTCAGACTGGAGGTTTTTATTTTGAATTATTTAGTTTTACATTAAAGAAAACAACAACCAGACTAAATTTCGTTTTGTATTATTTATTTTAACTTTATTTAGTTTTATTTCATTTATTTTACTTTTATTTTACATTTATTTTCTTAATTTTAAAACTAAAAAAAAAGTTTAATATTTTTAAATTTCAAAAAATTATTTTAAATTTTCCATCTTTCAAAAATCGTGTTTGTCGGGAGAATCACTCACTGCCGAAAAAAATCAATTATGAATGAGGTACTTTAACCCTCACAGGCTCGAGTTCGATTTTTGAAATGCGCGCACAAGGTGGGTCCGAGGGACCCGGATGTTTCAAAGTTTCAATGCAATAAAAAATAAAATTTAATAGCAAAGTGCTTCATATTTTCCATATTTAATACAATTTTAATGATATAATTGCATAAAAAATTTTAAATATTAAAAAGTAATCAAGTTATAACTAAAATTTGTTTAATAAATTTAATGAGTCATTTTGAATAAATCGAACTACATACTTATTAAGCAAGATTTTTCTAATTTGTATTTTTTGTTCTATTAAATTTAACGATGTATTTAACGATGTTATCACTTATTATGGCAGTTATTGATAAAAATACCATAAATAAATCGAATATTGCATAAAAATTGCAAATTTAAAATTTTTTTTCATAGCCCGGGTCCCTCGGACCCGGCTTGAGCTTTTACGTATGTTCGACTTAAAAGGTAATTTACCAGAATATTTTATAAATAAAAAATTGTTTATATTGATGAAAAATGTGTGTTCTTACGTCCCCAAGCCTAATGTGAAGTTGATTTTCCAATAATATTTTCTTAACCGGAAGTAGATCAAAAAAACTTTCCTCCGGGTCCGAGGGACCCGGCTCGAGCCCGTGAGGGTTAAAAACTTTTTTTGTTTCAAGGAGAAAGAAAAAGAGTCAAAGGACAAGGATAAAGATTCGAGGGAGAGGAGCGGAGAGCGAGAAAGGCATCCCCGTCCGAGTAAGTAAACAGGGAAAATTTATTTATTTTTCAAAATACAAAATATATCATCAATTAAACTAGACTAGGTCATTAATTTTTGATTGAACAGTCTATATATATATATATTTATTTATTTATTTATTTACTATATAGAAAATATCTTGCATTTTGATGGAAGGACTGAATTATATATAGAATTCATATCTATGGTTAGAATATTGATTGTGTCTGTTAAAAGTCGATTACTGCAAATAATCGTCCAATAGACTACATTGATCATTGTCTATTTTCAAATAAATTATCAACTCCTCATTTAAAGAGTATGACATCTTCTAGAAAATAATTCAAAAACTATTATTTCTTTTCTTAACAAATTTTAATTTAGAAATTAATTAAGAAATTATTACTATAATGGAAACCATTACCGAACTAAAATTTAAAAATGAAAACTAATGCTACTGTACAAATTATTGTATAAATATAAAATAGTTTAAAAAATAGTTGAAATAATAGTTAAAATAATAGTTGAAAAAATAAAATAATGAAAAAACTCTAGTGAAAAGATGATCATACTCTTGAGTTGATAAAAAAAAAATAAAATCGTCATTCGATTGTTTATACAAAAAAGGTGCATGTGGACTTGTCATTATTTTCGTATATTTATCTATCTGCATTTGTCGATTAATATTCAGTAGATTCTGATAGATAGGACCATGTATCAAAGGAATAGTTATTAATAGAAATGTTTTAACGTGCTTCTTAAATTTTTATTTATTAATTTACATTTTATTTTAAAGTTACGACGATAACTGATTTACAATCAATAAATTAATTTTCATTTATAATTTCTTTTACGTATACGCAATAGTCCTCGAATTGAATTTCTAATTATCGTATTTTAAATATATTAATTCATAACCGGGTTCTGAAGTTCCCGAAAATCGGAAAATTTTATAAATCCTCAAAACAAAAAAAATATCCACACGTCCTCAATATCTTCTCTGATTCAATAAAAACTTATTAAAATCTATTTCATGCCTGAACTAAAATACTAATGAATTTCATAAATATTCTTCCCCTGATCGTGAATTCGAAAAGAGAAAAAAAAGATCTTGTTTTTCATTTCTTGAAATTCTATATAATCACCAGATTCATCATCATCATTTCTCTCGAAAAATTAATTTGTCAAAAAAAATCAATTTCTTCAAAAAAAAAAAAAAAAAAAATGAATAAAAAAACAATTAAGGTGGAAAATGATTTAGAGAAATAGAATATTTGAGGTGGTTGAGGGTGTTTCAGCTACGGGTAGCCGAGTTCATTGGAGCATGAGAATATCTTCTGCAGCTTTATCATCGAGCGGACAAGTAATACCGCAATTATCGCCACCACCTTCGGTCACAAGGCCAACTCCAATCCACAGGAGGTCCCCGAAATATCATCGTAAACGTACGTTTCTTTTGTTCCAACACAGTCGCATTATCAATTCAAGTCAATGTCCATTTCGAAATTTCACCTCAAGCGAATAAAAAGAAAAATCGCACTTCGAACAAGTTATTCTAAAAAAAACAAACATAAACACTTCGCAAGCTATTTATCATTATAAACAATTTTTTCTTCATTAAAAATATATATTCTCTCACCATCCTTTTTTTAAAGGATCTTCTTCTTACAAATTGATCAATACAAAAAAAATATGGCACTTTTCACAAGAACACATATATAATTCAAATTCTGCAAAAAGTTATTTTTTTCGAAAAATTTCTCACTGCTGTTTTGTTTTGTTCTCCGTGTGGAGAAATTTTATTCTGTAATTCCAAATTTCTACAGAGGAAATTTTTCGTATTTTGGTCTACTTGTGTCTGACTAAAACTAGACTAATACTACTTCAATTACTTATTACTTCTTTTATTGATGACTACAACTTAATTTTATTGCTTTTCTTTAAATAACTCGTAATTTTTAACTTATGTCTGACTAATGGTATATTTTACTACTGAGAATGAAAAAAATTTTCATTTTTTGGTTTTCACCTTTTCATACTAAAACACGAGTTTAGTAGTTTGTTTCTAAATTCTAAATTTGGAATGTCTGACCAAGTAGCTTTTACTACTTCAACGGAAATTGTTTAAAGTTTTTAATTTCTGTCTTAATAGTGATTTTACTGGACATTTACTACTGAACTCACTTAACAGTGTTTTTACTTTTTTCTAAACTCTATAAACTAAGATGTCTGACCAAAGGTGAATTTTACCACTTCGTCTTCTATCAATTTTTATTTTAATACACATGTGCTATTTTACACTATTATACTTTTACTACTATTTTTACTATGTTTTAGTATCTTTTACTACTATAAAAATGAATGAAATTGCATCTTTTTGGTTAGATCGAAATTTCTTAATTTCTACTAATAAAAAATGTCTGACTATATCTTTACTTCTGTTACTTGTACAAAAGTAATTTGCTATTTAAAACTTTTGTTTTATTTGAAGTATCCGACTAAAAACTAAGTTACTACTACTTCCACTTAAATTCTCTGCAATTTAAATCTTCTGTCTGACTACTGCTGAACTTGACTACTGAAAAAAAATTTATATACAATTTGTCTGACTTAAATTTGGATATACTACTTAGTTTTAAATTCCATCCTATTAAAATGTCTGACTAAACCTAACTTTTTCTACTTTTACTGTATTTAGTTGTAATTTAAAACTTTTTTCTTGGCAATCATGAACTTTATTACTAAACAAAATATATAGTTTACAAACGCGTCTAATTTGCATTCTAAACTTGATCGATTTTTAATGTCTGACTGAAAACTTAGTTTTACTACTTCTACTTAAATTACTAGAAATTTAAGACTTTTGTCTGACTACTGCTGTACTTTACTACTAAAAAAATCAATATCCAATTTGTCTGACTAAAATGCGGATTTACTACTTGTTTCAAAATTCTATCTATTTTATATGTCTGACTAAAAACTTACTTCTACTACTTCTACTTAAATTACTAGAAATTTAAGACTTTTGTCTGACTACTGCTGTACTTTACTACTGAAAAAATTAATATTCAATTTGTCTGACTAAAATGCAGATTTACTACTTGTTTTAAAATTCTATCTATTTTATATGTCTGACTAAAATCTTACTTCTTCTACTTCTACTTAAATTACTAGAAATTTAAGACTTTTGTCTAACTACTAATGTACTTTACTACTAAAAAAATCAATATCCAATTTGTCTCACTAAAATACAGATTTACTACTTGTTTCAAAATTTTATCTATTTTATATGTCTGACAAAAAACTTACTTCTACTACTTCTACTTAAATTACTAGAAATTTAAGACTTTTTTCTGATTACTTTTGTACTTTACTACTAGTAAAAATTTATATTCAATTTGTCTGACTAAAATGCGGATATACTACTCGTTTCTAATTTTTATGTCTGACAAAAATTACTTTCTACTACTTCTACTTAAATTACTAGCTACTTAAAATTAATGTATGATTAATAGTGATTCGGAATTTAAAACTTGTCTGACTAAAAGTACACTTTACTACTAAAAAATTATATGTTTTACAATGTTTTTGGTCTGACTTAAATTCTCCTTTACTACTTATTTCTAAATGTTGACAATTTCACAGGTCTGACTAATATGCGCTTTCACTACTTATTTACAAATTCAATCAGATCTCATGTCTGACTAAATTTTATTTTTACTACTTTAACCTCATTCAGCTACAATTTAATACATAGTCTGACTAATGATATTTTCTACTACTAAAGACAAAGGAATTTGCATCTATTTGCAACTGACTAACCTGCAGATTTATACTATTTATTTTTAAATTACATCAACATTATATTTTCCATTAAAAATTTATTTTTACTAAAATCACATGCAATTTAAAACTGTCGTACTACAATTGTAGTACGACTACTCTTTCACTACTTCTGCTAAAATCACTTATAATTCGAATCTCGTGTCCGTCTGAATATGTATTTGACTACTGAAAATGAAGAATATTTTCACTGTTTTGTTTGTCTGTCTCAAATGTACTTTTACTACTTAACTGCTTTTACTAGTTGCACTAGTACTACTTTTAGTACTTTCAATACTAGTAACAATTCGAAAACTCTCCAGGAAATTTATATTTCAATATTTTTCAAAAATGTGTATTACATTTCACAAATTGCAATTTTGTCTCTTACACGAACAAAAAAAAAACATCAACTCTCTTAAAAACTTTCAAAAAACAAACTTTTTTGTCGTCTTTCCAAAAAAAATAATCTTCCTCAGGACGTGTGAATTTCTTCAAATTGCTTGAAAACTTACGTAGAGAAAAGAGAATACTCTCTCTGTTGTACAAAAAAAAAACTTCTTGCCCTCCCCCTCGCTATATGCAAATACACAACTTCATCAAAATTCATGGCATGAAAAAAGCTTTTTAAAATAATAGATGCCTGTGTTGTGTATAAGATAAAAGGCAGGCTTTTCTTTAGACAAAAGGACAAATTTCTCGCCCAAAAAGGAAAGCAGGAACGGAAAAAGGAAACTTCAAAAATAAAGAAGCAAGAAAAATTGTTGAAGTTGAAAAAAAATATTTTTAACAGAAATATCATTTTAACAGAATTAAAAAGAAGTATCAAAAGAAGTATCATTTTAAAGAATATTTTCAAAAGAAATAAATATAAAAATATGTTTTTGGATGTTTAGAAAAATATTTTTAAAAAAAATTCATCTCCAAAATATTGGAGTTTCTTTTAAAAATATTTTTTTAAACATCCAAGAACATATTTTTTTAAAAAAAAATAAAAAAAAAATTTTCAAAGAAATATTTTTCCAAAAAGGAACATTTTTATGGGAACTTCACATCGGAATAAATAACTGAGGACGTGGGAAAAATAAAGAATTACAGAAAATTGATTTTATTTATTTCTAATAATTTTTAGTTAGCGAATGCGATATAATAATATATATATATATATATATATTACAATAAATATGAATAAATAATATTATAATGAATTTTTTGTTTTTTCTTCTCAAAAAAAAAAAAAAAAAACGATCGCTTTATTGTAATTGTAAAATATGTTCTAGCCTTCCTCGCAACCAATGCTCCTCCCCATCGCCCTCTTCATCACGCAAAACCCATAACCACCAACATCACAAGTACCAATATCAATACGAACGTCACAGTTAAACCATCACCCTCGGTAAAGCATTCGATTCACTCGACCGCCTATCACCCGCCTACTGCTACCACCACCACCACAACTGCTGCCGCTGCGGCCAGGCTGGAGCGTGTCAAGCATGCCCAGGCCAAAACGGCTCCTGCAGGCGCTGCAATGAGCCATCCACCTGCGACTGCAGCTGCAGTCGTCGACCCATCCAAATCATCCTTCGAAAGTCGATACGCGCATCGATCCACTTCTGCCGTACAAGCTAGTAAGTAGCATGCCAGCCGTTACAGAGACAATCGTCAAAATTTCAAAACAAAAAAAAAACACCATGATGAAGTAATAACAAAAATAAAGATTGTTCTCTTCGGCTTTAGAAACTGCTTTTCGTATCATCGTTGTGTCCTTCATTCTTATTATTGTTATTTTATTTTTTCTTTTAGTACTTTATTGTCAAGTATTTTATTCTTAGGTAATGCTAATGTCACCAATTGTCAATGCCAGCATTATTTATTTTTTAATATGGAGACGTTTATTCCTATTTGTCTTTCTAAAATTACTACTACACCTTATACTATTTATATATAAATTTAACTATTTATATAATACTATTTACAAAAAAGGTTAAAATTAAAACTATTACAGAATAGGTTGGTCTGACCAATACGGACTCTTACTACTAGAGAATTAATTTCTAGAATTCGCATCATACTATTTGTCTGACTAAACTAGGGTTTTACTACTAATACTTATTTAACTAATATACCAGGTTAATAATAAAACTCGGGCGCCCATCTGTAATTCTTAACGTCCCCTATAGGGGCCGTTACGTACTCTCTAAAACTGAATCAATGAAATTTGACTGCTTTTCAATTGACTATATTCTCGCGATTTGAATCAGTTTAATTTCACTGAAGATCGGTTAAAAATGATTGAAATTTCATTTTTCACTGATTAGCCAATTAAAAATAACCTGAAATTTTCGACAGAAAATTTCAGTAATTTTTTATTTGGCGAATCAGTGGAAAATGACTGATATTTCAGTAATTTTTTTTACTGATTTTCAGTGAAATTCCACTGATTCTCAGTCAAATTTCACTGATTTTCTTTCTTTCTTTTTTTTAGAGAGTATATAATAGCAGGCTTTGCTATGGTAATTATTACCATACAGGATTGCGACAGATCAGGAAATTCAAAGAAAAGCCAGGGAAAGTACTCTCTCAATCTAAATTAGTAGAAAATTACTTATGAAATGCCGAAAAGTCGTTTATCAAACAATTTAGTAATAATTTTACCATCGAATAGTGAAATTTTACTAATTGATTAGTAAAATTTCACTAAAAATTAGTAATTTTCTACTAATTAAAAAGAGGAAAAGTCGTTCATGAAAACTATTAAAAATTAGTAAAATTTTACTATTTGTTAGTAGAATTCTACTAATTCAGATTTAGAGAGTAGAATTGGTCAGAGAAAGTCAGGAAAAAGTCAGGGATTTTTATTAAAAGAACTGAAAAAAATTTAATTTTTAGAATTCATAAGAAAATTCAGAATTTTGATGACTTTTTTGTTTGCCTCGTATAAGCTATGAAATTACCACGAATTCAAATACAAAACCTTCAATTTTTTCTATTTCTGACAATAATTTCTCTTTAAATAATTTAATTCTTAAAGAACTATCATAAAATTATTAGTTATAAATTATTTAATGAATAATTTTACTTAAATCATTTAAAATGAATTGAATTTTAAAGGCTTTGCGTTTACCATTTTCATAAATAGATGAACTTCAAAAGGTTTCAATTTGAAATTTTATCAAATTTCAATTTTCAATTAATCTTAGAATTTTAGAAAATTGTAATAATTCAAATTCTTCTAACATTAACTAAATTTTATAATATACATTTAATTAATTAGTAAAAATAATTTAGAGAAGGAATTTTAATTCGAAACAGTAAAAAAAATTGAATTTTGGAAAAGTTACAAAAATGCTTGCAGATATTCAATTATTTTTAAAATTAATAAAATTCTTCGCAAAAATTCAATTATGTTAAAAAATATTTTTTAATTCTTGTCAAAATTTCAATTTTCTTTATAAGTAATAAAATGAAATTTTTCTCTGAAATTCAATTATTGAATTAAAATAAATTTAAATTTATTTTTAAAAATTTTAATAAAATTCTTGACAAAATTTCAATTATTTTCCAAAATTTTTCTAAATTTAATGATTTACAATATCTACTATATTTTAATACAATTTTCCAAAAGAATTCATTAATTAAAAAATTTTTAATAAAATTCTACGCTAACATTTAATTATTTTCATAAATAATAATAAAAATTCCTCTGGAATTCAAATATTTACAAATTTTTTATAAATTTCTTCTTAAGAATTCAATTATTTTCATAAAAAATAAAACTCTTTGCAGAATTTAAATTATTTTTTATTCCAATTTTCATCAAATTCCTCATAATTATTCTTAAAAATTTTATTAAAATTCGTCAAAAGCATTCAATTATTTAAAATTTTGTTTATAAAATTCTTTATAAGAATTCAATCCTAAGAAACATTCAATTATTCAATAAATCATATATTTTTGTATTTAAATACCTAATTAAATTCTTACTGAATTTTGTATTAGAAATATATTTATAAATAAATTATAAGTAAAAATGTTAGATAATAATTGAATTTTAATAGCTTTATAGCATGAATTTTAAAAGAAATAATTGAATTTCCATAAGGTTTCAAATTAAAATCTTTGAAAATTAGAATTTTTCATACTTTTAACAAACAATTCCGAGAAATTAATTTTTCTTTTTTTGAATTTATTTGAAGAATTTATTTTCTAATATAGGGTAAATGCACTAGTAGTCGGACACTTAAGGATACAATCTTAAATTATGCTTTTTTTCTTGAAATAGCAAATATCTACTGTGTTTATAAGCACATTATTAATTAAAGGAGTTCTTCAGGATTAAAAATCATATAAATTTGTTACAAATAGTTGAGTATTTAATAAAATATAAACATTTTAATAAAAAATTACGAATGCTTTAGTAGTCGGACACTTTTTCCCCTTGTTTCTATAGTCGGACATCTGTCAGATATTTTGAATTTATAAAGTGAAAAAGATAATTTTTTAATTGCTATCGGCTGGAAAATGGAATTAAAGCATATTAGAAGTTATTAATATAATATTTAAACCCTATAAGATTTAATATTTATGATTAATTATCAACAAAACTTTGTGCCACTCATCGCGCTACTCGAAAATGGTTGTATCTATAGTCGGACACCATGATTTTTAAAACATTAAATAAAATATTTCTTGTTTAATTATTTTTGTAAATAACACTATTTTAATAAAATATAAACTTCACACATTCGTCTAGTATACTTTTTAAAGTAATTATCACAATGCATTATTATTTATTTGCCAAAAAACACGGAAGTGTCCGACTACTAGTACTGTCCGACTATACCCGCACTTACCCTATATTTAATTGAAAATTTTCGAAATAATCGAAATTTCGTAAAATTGAATTCCAAACAAATGGATTTGAAATTTTTTAAAGAACTTTTTCAAAAATTATTAAAAATAATTAGTTTTAAGTAAAAATTTTAGTTGAAAATTGTAGAAATAAATAGTAATTGAATTGAAATGATGGAAATAATTTTGAAGAAAAATTTTTTAAAAAATGAAGATATGAATCACTTCGAGTCAAAGACTCGGAGTGATTAATATTTTCATATTTTATAATAATATTCTTATAAGTTATCAAAAATTGATACTAAAGTGGATCAAATTAATGCCAAAAATTTGGTACGATTTTTTATTTATTCCAAATTTTTAGTACCAATTTACTGCAATTTGATACATTTAAATAAAACAGTGATTCTTAAGAAATAAGAGAAATTTTATCTATCAATAAAGCAAAAACAAAGGAATAAATATATTTCAAAAATTAAAAATTATTTATAATAAAAAAGAATTGGTGACTTACATTACGTAGGAATTTTATAATATTTTTTTTTTTTTTTTTTTTTTTTTTGGAGTGTACTATAAATCGTATGATCATATTAAGCTTTTATCATATAACCGCTATCCCTTGCAGTGGCATTTATTCCAGTAGTATGAAAAAATTTTTTAGATGTGTAAAATTGAAGCAGCATTCCATTATTATTTTTTTCTAAATAAATTACAGGAGCACACAGGGAAAGTATCGCAGCTGAAAATGCACCACGGAAGAACCAGCAGTTTTTAAAGTTTGTTTAAAAATTTACGTTAGCCTGACATATATTAAACAACCTGCGCCGTTAAAAAGTTCGCATGTCGGTGCATTTTCCACTACTGACCCTCTAAAAGGATCAATTTCCATTTATACTGAATTTTGCATAAAGAAAAATTTTGACAAAAATTTTTGTTTTGTTTTAAAAGAACTGTTATAAAAAATTCTACATCCTATATAAAAAATTTTTTTGTTTCACAGTTTTATTTGTATTTATATACTAATAAATTTATTTATTTAATAATCTACTTAATTATTTATTTGTCTTTTGATTAATTTATCTTAGTAAATGGTGAAATTGATCCTTATATTTAAATGAGCAATCAGAGTTTGAAAAAAATAGAGAAAGCAAGAAAATAGTGTTTTCCTACTTTTTCGTTTTCTTTACTATTCCTTTTCCTAAATATTTATAATAAATTTAAAAACTAAAGAATAATTTTTAAAAAAACTTGTACAACGTGTTCTATTGCATTTAAAAACACATGTATGTAGCCCAAAAAAATGTTTTCTTTTTAGAGTTTTTATAAAATTGTGTGACCGTTTTATTTAAAGTGAATTTTTTTAAGGAACATATTATTCATAAACATTAATTTATTTTATTCTTTAATGTCTGAGTGATTTTGACTTTTACTACTTAAACTCCAACACCTTGTCTGACTAAAACTTACTTCTACTACTTCTACTAAATTCTACAGTTGAAATTTAAAACTTCTGTCTGACCAATCGCGAGTTTTTTTACTGAAAAAATAATAATTTACAAATACGTCTTCAGAACTTATCTACTACTTGCACCTTAATTATTTATAATTTAAAACTCTTATCTTTTTATTAATTTTTTATTTAAAACAGTATTTTACTACTGAAAATTGACAAAATGTGTATATCATATTTATCTGACTAAAAAGCGCATTTACTACCTATTTCTGAATACGATCCAATTGACATGTCTGATTAAAAACTTAGTTCTACTACTTTCACTTAAATTACTAAAAATTTAAGACTTTTGTCTAACTATCGCTGTACTTTACTACTGAAAAAATTAATATACAATTTGTCTGACTAAAATTCGGATTTACTACTTGTTTCTAAATTCGATGTCTGATTAAAAACTTAGTTCTACTACTTTCACTTAAATTACTAGAAATTTAAGACTTTTGTCTGACTATCGCTGTACTTTACTACTGAAAAAATTAATATCCAATTTGTCTGACTAAAATTCGGATTTACTACTTGTTTCTAAATTCGATGTCTGATTAAAAACTTAGTTCTACTACTTTCACTTAAATTACTAGAAATTTAAGACTTTTGTCTGACTATCGCTGTACTTTACTACTGAAAAAATTAATATCCAATTTGTCTGACTAAAATTCGGATTTACTACTTGTTTCTAAATTCGATGTCTGATTAAAAACTTAGTTTTACTACTTCTATACTTAAATTACTAGAAATTTAAGACTTTTGTCTAACTATCGCTGTACTTTACTACTGAAAAAATTAATATCCAATTTGTCTGACTAAAATTCGGATTTACTACTTGTTTCTAAATTCGATGTCTGATTAAAAACTTAGTTCTACTACTTCTATACTTAAATTACTAGAAATTTAAGACTTTTGTCTGACTACTGCTGTACTTTACTACTGAAAAAATTAATATTCAAATTGTCTGACTAAAATTCGGATTTACTACTTGTTTCTAAATTCGATGTCTGATTAAAAACTTAGTTCTACTACTTCTATACTTAAATTACTAGAAATTTAAGACTTTTGTCTGACTACTGCTGTACTTTACTACTGAAAAAATTAATATTCAATTTGTCTGACTAAAATTCGGATTTACTACTTGTTTCTGAATTCGATGTCTGACTAAAAACTTAGTTTTACTACTTCTACTTAAATTACTAGCTATTTAAAACTAATTACTGATTAATAGTCGATTTTACTACTGAAAAACAAAATAATTTACATTTATTTTTGTCTGACTAAAATCAACAATTATCACTTATTTCTAAATTCTTTCTACTGAGAGAAAACTTCTATAGTTTTGGCTAACTAAAACTAATATTGTATACTTGTATATATGCAGTAGAACTATTTTGTCGCCAGTCTGACTAAAATTGATTCATACTACTGTAACAGAAATTCTAGAAAAATATATACTATACTGTCTGACTAAAACTGACTTTTGCTACTTACACGTAATATATCACTGTCTGACTTTTACTACTTCCACTTGACATATTTCTGTCTGACTAAACCCGACTTTTACTACTTCCACGTAATATGTTTATGTCTGACTAAAACTGACCTTTACTACTTCCACTAAATTTATATTTAATATCTAGTCATTTTTTTTCAGTAAATTTTTTGTTTTATGCAACATTTCTTTTCTGTTATCATTTTATCGTTTAGTAAATTATTTTTTTCATTAAATTATTATTAGTTATCGTAAAGCATTACTTAATTTTCGTTGCAAACTTAAAATCGTAATTAATTATTAACTTAATATTAGTAACATTTTTTTTTAAATAAAAACTATTGTTCCGGATCTGGTAACCTTTTTTTACAGAAACTCACGTATTTTAATCCTGTAAGATGTGGTAGATTAACAGAAGTTTTATTCATTGGAAAAAAAAATATATTTTATTTTAATAACTTATTACTTGACTATTATGAAATAAATATTTACTTATTGAAACAAATAATTTTTGAGTCAACTAAAATTGTACGTATATTTGAACCAATAAATTCAGTATTTGAAGAAATGTTTAGTATTTTTCAGTATTTGATGCAAATACAATTGAATTTTGAATTGAACCATTAAATTGATATTTTCAACAAAAATTATTTAATAACAGACAAAAGTAATCGATTATTTAGTATAAAATCAATTTTTTTCGTTGTATAATAATTTCTAATACTATAAACAATACTATTTTTTTCTCATCGTTACAAATAAACAAAAGACATATTAAGCATTCGTTCTACTAATAAAAATGTAGAAAAATTTCCATTCTTTCTCTATGGTTGATGTAAGTTGAAAGAATTTCTATTTATTTAATATAAATCTAAGTGTACTTTAGATGTGTATGAAATATTCTTGATATTCAGCACGAGTGGTATTTTATGCTATTGAAAAGTTATCGTATTATTATTCTAGATATTACATTGAAATTTGAAACTATAAATTATGAATGTGCATTCTAATTGTACATATGTTGCTTTCTAAAAACTTGTTGTCTGTGTTTCTCTATCTTTCTGTCTCTCTTTCTATGTAAATACATCTATCTTTAAATATATATCAATATATACATGTATATATTGTATGTAATTTTAGGTCACTCGAGTAAAAGTTTGATGCAAATTTTTTTTTTTTTTTTTTTTTTTTTTTTGTTGTGATTACATTTCAAAACAGAGTTTACAGACAAGATTGTGGAAAAAGTATTGTTGTATATTCAAATGAAATTGTCATATTTTTTTCTTTTATTTGAATATATATGAGAAAATTTTAAATTAAAAAAATATTTTTCTTCTTGTCTTTAAAACTCTCTTCTTGAAAAAACATGTTCAGGCTTGATGATTTCTTTTTACATTTCTTAGCAAAATAAATTCAGAAATTTAAATTTCAAATTTCTTTCCAAATTTTGAAGGATAGAATTTATAGTTTACATATTCAGAGATATGTTTTATTATAATTTTATTTGAGTTGGATAAAAATATTTATTTTTCTTCTTGACCTATTTGTATATTTGATTCAAAAATCAAAATTATTAAATATTTATTAATAACAAATAATTTTAATCTAAAAAGATATTTCTTGAATTAAAATTACATATTTATTTGCTGAAATAATTTTTTAAATAAATAGAGAAATTAATTTTTAAATTGAGGTATAAAATATATTTCTATTAAAAAAAAAAAACAAAAAACAAAAAAAACAAAGGTGAAAAAAATGGTGATAATATTTTTTCTTTTTAAAATGAATTATCAAGCCTGAATAATGAGTGTTAAGAAGAAAGAAATTATACATTCTGTATAAGCGTCAATTATGGATTCCAGTGACAGCGGAACCCCAATTAAACGGGACCGCAACAGGAGGTTCGAGCGTCGCGTCAACTCCACCGTCACAAGTAGCAGCTCAGGTAGCTCCAGTATCGACCGAAAGTCCATGGTTCGACGACGAGCCGGTGATAAAGAGTCCACCGGAGCCAACTCGCGTCAAATCACCAGAGCAAATGATCATGCGATCACCAGAACCAGTCAATTGGACCGTACCGCTGGACACAGGGAAAACGTTCACTGTCACTCAAAACGTGAGGGAAGGTATGATTTTAGATCATTTATTCAAGCAACAAAAATTCAAATTAATTATTCCTTTTTTATTCAATTTTTTATTTTATTCTTATTTCTCAATTACATTAATTTTAAATGTCTGACTAAAATGTACTTCTACTACTTCTACAGTCTATTCAGTTGACAATGAAAACTTCTGATTACTTATTTTAAACTGAAAAATCACTTTCAATTAAAATCTTTTGTCTGACTAATAACGTATTTCACTACTGAAAATTAATGACACCTTTTTTTTGTCTGACCAAAATGGTGATTTTCTACTTAATTCAAAATTTCATTCAACCAGTTTCAACCAGTTTATAATTATTATTATTATTATTAATTATTAATTGAAAATGAAATGAAATAATTGTTATTATTATTACTAAAAGGGGATCCGCTGACAAGACCGCATAGTGAGGCTAAATCATGGGGTCCTTCATCACTGCCTTCAGCTCCACAATCTGCACCACCGGAATTAGCACATTTGCACAAATCACAACATTCGCAACAATCCGGTTACAAATCACCAGAAAGTGAAAGCGTGTCACTAGGAAGTTTTACCGGCACCAATGGCCATAAAGATCCTGATTCAGATAGAGGCAGTCCTTTAATGGCGAACGTTCAGCGGACACCGTCGCCGACAAAAAGTAACAAGGTAACATTAAAAATTTTTTTGTACCCAAAAATTAACAAGGTATAGTACTTTTTAAATCAATATTATAATAATATTAGAATTATTTATGTAATTTTAAAGTTTTTGGGGTCGCTGAATACAAATTTGGAGTCAGAATTAAAAAATTAAAAAATTGTGACTTTTAAAAACATCCGAGTGAACATGTTTAGACAAATTTTGTCAACTTTTAAGAATTTTGGTAGCCATATTGGATCCGCCATTTTGAATTTTTTTATTCTGATGTCAAATTCATAATTTAGTGATTCTGAAAATCCCTCAGTATTCTGAATCACTCTAAAAGTGATTAAATACTCAAAAAAAAAAAAGTTCTATTACATTTACTTACGAATTTTTTTAACTATGTAAAATTATTCGAAAACATGATTATTATTCGATAGAAATAATGTTACTGTAAGTTTTTCAAAAAATTATTTTCATCATTTCAGTTCAATTTTATTATTTTCTAGAATTTTTAACTAAAATTATTCTTTAAATCAATTATTTTTAATAATTTTTAAAGATGTTCTTTGAGAATTTTCAAATCCGTTCGTTTAGAATTCAATTTTACGAAATTTCGATTATTCGGAAATTCTTCAATTAAATATATATTTGAAAATAAAAACTTTAAATAATTTCAAAAAAAAACCACACTTAAAGTTTCTCAAAAAAAAAATTAATTTCACAGAATTCTTAGTCAAAAGTATGAAAAATTCAAATTTTCAAAGATTTTAAATCGGAAACTTTTTAAAATTCAATTATTTCTAAAAATCTATGCTATTACTAACTTAATTTTCAATTATAATCTAAAATTTTAACTAAAATTCATTTTTAATCAATTTTTATTACAAAATTTTATGAGAATTCAATTCTTTGTGTAAATACAAAAATAAACAATTTATTGAATAACTGAATGTTTTTTAAAATTGAATTCCCATAAATAATATTTTCTTGACAAATTTTTAAATAATTGAATTCTTTTGACGAATTTTAATGAAATTTTCGAGAATAATTACATTTTTTTAGGAATTCGATAAAAATTGTATTAAAAATACTTGAAATTCTGCGATGAGTTTTATTATTTATGAAAATAATTGAATTCCTAAAAGAAATTTTATTATTTATGAAAATAATTAAATTTTTAAAAGAAATGTTATTATTTATGAAAATAATTAAAAAATGTTTGCGTAGAATTTTATTAAAATTTTTTTTAAATAATTGAATTCTTTTAGAAAATTTTCTTAAAACAGTATATATTCAAAATCATTGAATTGAGAAAAATTTTGGAAAATAATTGAATTTCGGAGAAGAATTTTATTATTTGTAATTAAAATTTTGACGAGAATTCTAACTTCCCCACAATTTAAATTTTTTAGTGTTTTTAAGTCAAATTCTTCTATAAATCCATTATTTTTAATAATTAATTAAATATATATTAGAAAATTGAACTAATTTTAGAAGATTTTGAAATAGTAAAAATTTTTAATTTTTCAAAAATTCAATTTCTTTGAAATTTGTATAATTAAAGTCATTGAAAATTGAAATTTTATAAAATTTCAAATTAAAACTATTATTGAAGTTCATATACTTATAAATACATATTGTAAACGCAACTCTTTTAAAATTCAATTAATTTTGAAATATTTAAGTAAAATTATCCATTAAATAATTTGTAAGTAATAATTTTATGATAGTTCTTGACACTGAAAAAAAAAATTATTTGATAGGTACAAATAACCGTTTCCTTGTCTATTATCAAATAAATATTTACTTGAATCAAATAATTATTATTTAAATCAATTAAATGGTATTTGAATCAATAATTTTAGTGTTTGAAGTGAATACAATTTAATTGACTCAAATAAAAATTAATTTTAATCAATTTTAATTTAATTTTAATCAATAAATTCAATTCAAGTAAATATTTAATTGATAATAGTCAAGCGACTATTATTTGATGACTAATTTAATTTTAATCAATAAATTCGTTTCAAGTAAATATTTAATTGATAATAGTCAAGTGACTATTATTTGATGACTAATTTAATTTTAATCAATAAATCAATTAAATAATCAATTAAATATTTACTTAATTCGAATTTATAGATAAAAATTAAATTAAATTACCAAATACCAAACCAAATACTAATTTGGTTGATTAAATCAAATAAATTTTTTTTGAGTGCCAGAATTAAGTTATTTAAAAAGAAATTATTGTCAAAAATAGAAAGAATTAAAGGATTTATTAGAATTCATGCTTCATGGTCAATTCTTCGTTTAATGAGGCAAACAAATAACATTTTTTCCATGACTTTTTTAAATCATCAAAAATGAATTTGCCCTTCAGAATTGAGGCAAAATGTAAAAATACATAATTCAATTTAAGTTTATACAAAATTTGATCTAGTAATTTGAAATTCCCCTCAGAATTTGCTCGACGAGGAAGATGACAAGCAACAAGCATCAGATCCATCAATGAAACCAGTGGCTGGTACAAATCTACGATGTCTTGACGATCCAGTTTTTGAATTCGACAGAAAGAAAGAAACCACTTCAGTTCCCACTGCCACCGGACAACATGGTTATCACGTACTCGAAGGAACATCACCACAATTAGCCAGCAGCACAGGTTATCACGTATTGGAAGCACCGCCAATAAGTCCAGGCTCATCGCAACGTTCGGCGGCCACCGATGTTCTCGAAATGGCACGAAATCGATTCGATAAATTTTGGGGAAAGGGCCCAGAAAATTAGATTTTTCAATTATTATTATTATTATTATTATTAAAGACGCGATTCGTCATTATTGCATAAAAGCGTAAAAAAAATAATTCGAAGCTGCTTTGATATCGCGTCGCAAAAAAACTAAAAAAAACAATACAAGAATTAGTCTTGTATTATTATTCGGCTTCTTATTTTTAGAAATCCCCTCTTCCTTCAAAAAAAAAAAAATAATAATGAAAGATAAGGGCTGGTTCCTTGAACGAAAGGATTTTCAAATTCCTCTCACCTTCATTACAAAAAAAAAAATTTTTTTAGCCAAAACGCCTGCATTTTTATTAGCTATCATTATTAAAAAAAATGAATTAATTCGTAGATCGAAGTTATTATTTTTTTTCTCGAGATTTTTCAATAACTTTATTTATATTATAATTATTAAAACAATTAAATGCGATTTTCATAAATATACGAGACAACCGTACTTGATTCGATTTCGTAATTTATCACTAATCACATCAATAACAGAATTTCCCAATTCTCATTCTCAAAATTCGGCTGTGAAATAAAAAATTTTTTGACAAAATATTATTTTTCTATTTTTCTATATCATTTTCGTTTTATATTTCATTTTATAATTTCATTGAATATTAACTTTTATTAAATATTATTTTACTAAGTACTATTACTTAAACTCTCAATTTTAAATATTTTCAGATTCAGAAATTTAAAAAATCCACTTATTCAGTAACTAAATAATTATTATTATTTATTATTTTAAAAAATACAATAAAATTCTTCGTAAAAAATAAAATTCAATTGTTTTTAAAAATAATAAAATTATTCATAAGAATTCAATTATTTTGATAAATAATAAAATTCATCGTAGAAATTCTTCGCAAGAATTCAATTATTTTCATAAACAATAAAATTTTTTACAGGAATTCAATTATTTTAAAAAATTAAAATAAAATTACTTCAAAGAATTCAATTATATTTAAAAATAATAATAAAATTCTTTACAAGATTTCAATTATTTTCATAAATATAATAATTCTTTGCAGGAATTTAATTATTTTTAAAAAATTTTATCAAATTCTTTGTAAGAATTCAATTATTTTTATAAATAATATTTTCTTTTGCATAAATTCAATTATTTTCATAAATAATAAATTCTTTGCAAAAAATCAATTACTTTTATAAATAATAAATATTTTTGCAGAAATTCAATAATTTTTAAAAACAATAAAATTCTCTACAAAAATTAAATTATTTTCAAAAATTTTAGTGAAATTTCTTCAAAAAATTGAATTTATGTTTAAAAATTTTAATAAAATTCTTTACAAGAATTCAATATTATTTTCAATTCAATTGTAATAAATTTTTTTACAAAAATTAATTTATTTTCAATTCAATTGTCAAAAATTTGAGGAAAATTCTTCAAAACAATTGAATTATTTTTGAATATTTTATGATAATTTTTCCCAAGAATTCAATTATTTTCATAAATAATAAATATTTTTTGCATAAAAAATCAATTATTTTTAAAAATAATAAAATTTTTCGCAAAAATTAAATTATTTTCAAAAATTTTAGTGAAATTTTTTCAAAGAATTAAATTGAATTTCCCCAATAGTTCAATTATTTTCCTAAATAATAAAATTTTTCGCAAAAATTCAATTATTTTCGAATATTTTATGATAAATTTCCCCAAGAATTCAATTATTTTCCTAAATAATAAAATTCTTTGAAAAAACTTAATTATTTTTATAAATAATAAAATTTAATTATTTTCAACAGAATTTTAGTAAAATTTGTTGAAATAATTCAATTATCTAAAAAAATTTTGATTGATAAAGATTTAAAATTTTAAGTATTATTTAGTTTTTAAATTAAAATAAATTAATTTATAAATATTTTCAATTTAATCATTTATAAATTGTAGATATAATTTCTTTACATTTTTATAATAAACAATTAAATTATTATTAAATTATTATTAATTAAACAATTTTCTTTTTGTGAATAAATTTTTTGTATTTTGTATTTTGAGAATGAGAGTATATAAATATCATTATAGAAAAAACAAACGAAACTAATTAGTTAACGATGATACAATTTTCAAGAAGCCTTTAATAGCTTCTCGTGCGTTTTATATTAAATAATAAATATAATGAAAAATTGGATGTATCAAGCAATACGTGATTGTAAACGAGTTGTAGGATGTTTCATACGATGTTTTTCGCTTGCTTCCTTTAAAAAAAAGAAAATGTAGTCAAAATCATTCAGGAAGATTAAAGCAAAAAATAAAAAAAAATCAGCACGTGTTATTAAAGTTTGGTAATCAAATACCAAACTTATCGACACCACAATGTTGTTAATCTACAATATTATTACTTTAGATAATGCATAATAATCAGCAAAAATATTTTGCTCTTTATTATTACAAAGAAAAATAAATAGCGGCACCCGTTTTACGTCCGCAAAAAGTGATTCGTAGTGTTTTTAATACAATATAACAAAATATATTGTTATTATCAATTTCTCAAATTTTTCGCCAAAAAAAAAAAAATACAACCTCTAGTTTTGCATCGCTTCTAAAAAAAAATCAGTTTCGCTATATGTAAAAACTGAACAAATTTTTTCTCATTTGCATCCGCAGCGTAAATGAAAAATCAACTCTTTAAAAAAAAACCATTTTAATATATTCGTCCAGAAAAAAAACCATTTTCACACAAATAAAATAATACAAAAATAACCGTGATACCTATTTCTCACTAATATTATAATAATGCCTGAAGAAAAAAATTATTCCAAAAGCAGAATTCAGAAAAAATCGCACACAAAAAGTGTTTTTTCATTAAAAAACAAAAAAATACATAGAAAAATTAATTGAATTAATAATTTAATAAACAATAAAAATATTAATTATTATTATTGTTTATTAAATTCTTACAATATTATCACGAATTAATTGTTACGATTATAATATGCCAGTTACTGTTCCTTATTCCGTCGAGATTTGATACAAAATCTTAAGCGTATTAATTTTTCTTTTTCACTTTTAATTAGACCGTTTTCAAGAATGTTCGATAAAACATCGGGGAGTTTGGAAAAGCTCGGTTAAATATATACACAACAAAAAAAAAATTATACTTTTGCCATGCGAGATTTTTAATTTCGAAAGAGAAAAAAAAATATTATGTAAAACGAAAATGAAAGGAAAAAGAAGGAAAATCAGAAAAGAGCTTTTCTATCTCACGCGCATTTAAAACAAAAAAAAAAAAAAAACAGTACACCACACTCCATCCAAAATCCACGTCCAATGTCCACAATTTTACCAACTTTTAGCGCAAGAGTAACGATATAAACTTAATTGACTGACACTCCTAAATATAGTTTAAATATTGTGACTCGAGTATTTTGACGACAATGGACCATGAGAGGATAATTAAATAAGCGAAGATATTTTCTCTCGAGGAATTAAAAAATTTAATTAAAAAAGAAAATTGTTATTTTACGTTAATATTATATAATAATAATAAATTCAATAATTGAAAATCGCAAAATAATTAAGGAACATTTTTTGAAATATTACAAAAAAAGCGAAATTGAAAAAAAACTTTAATAAAATTCTTTGTTAGAATTCAATTATTTTCATTAATAACAAAAATTTTTGCAAGAATTCAACTGTTTTTAAAAATTTGAACAAAATTCCTTGCAAAAAATTCAATTATTTTCATAACTGAAAAAAATTCTTTGTAGGAATTTAATTATTTTCAAAAATTAAAATCAAACTCTGCCCGAAGAATTCAATTATTTTCACAAATAAAAAATTTCTTCAAAATAATTCGAATATTTTTAAAAAATTTAATAATATTCTTCGTTAGAAATTCAATTATTTTCAAAATTTTAATAAAGTTCTTTGCAAGAATTTAATTATTTTCATAAATATATAACAAAATTCTTTGAAGAAATTCAATTATTTTCATAAATAAAAAATTTCTTCAAAATAATACAATTACATATTTTTAAAAAATTTAATAAAATTCTTTTCAAGAATTTCATTCTTTTCAGAAATAATAAAATTCTTCGTTAGAAATTCAATTATTTTTAAAAAAAATAAAATTCTTCGTAAAAATTCAATTTTTTCAAAAATGTCAATAAAATTCTTCCCAAGAATTCAATTATTTTCACAAATAAAAAATTCTTATGAAAATAATTCTTTGCAGGAATTTAATTATTTTCAAAATTTTTTTAAAAATTCTTTGTAAGAATTCAATTATTTTTCTTAATAATCAAATTCTTCCCAAAGAATTCAATTATTTTCACAATAAAAAAATTGTTATGAAAATAATTCAATTCTTACGAAGAATTTCTTCAAAACGATTGAATTATTTTTTAAAATTTAATTAAAATTCTTCCCAAGAATTCAATTATTTTCATAAATAAAATAATTCTTTGCAGGAATTTAATTATTTTCAAAATTTTTTATAAAATTCTTTGTAAGAATTCAATTATTTTTAAAAATAATATTTTATTTTGCATAAATTCAATTATTTTCATAAATAATAAATTCTTTGCAAAAAATGAATTATTTTCATAAATAAAATAATTCTTTGCAGAAATTTGAGTGTTTTTAAAAATTTTAATAAACTCTTCGTATGAATTCAATTTTTTTCAATACGATTTTAATTATAAATAATTATAAAAATTACGAATTAAAAGACGAATTTATCAAAACTAAAATTCTAAAATTCGTAATTTATTACAAAAAAAGAAATGTTTCCCGTCTATCCAGAGAAGTTTTAAAGTAAAAAAAGATAAATGAAAATTTTCTCTAGATTTTTAATTATATTTTTTAATTCAAAGAGAAAATATCAGAAATTGCAAGAAATGATTTCTTTTGTCTCTATTTTATATTTTTTTTTTACTTTCTGACCAGAAAGAAGTCTCTCGTGATTATAATTATATTTCAACATTAAACTTGAATATTAACATGAAAAAAATTTTCAAAATATTCATTCCCGTCCATTTTTGATAATTTTATCTACAAAAAAGCGAATTCATTTTAAATATCTCAATATTGTTTTGCTTCTTGCAAAAAAAATTTTATTTACATTTTGAAAATACAGTAGGGGAATGTAGTCAAGGTTGGCCTACTGTCTAGGTAGGCCACTCGCGTTTTTTTGTCAAGTTCACTAGCGCCACCTACGCGCATTTTTGTCGAAGCTTGTCTTAGTGAAACCTAACTTTTTGTTCAATTACATTTTCGGAAAATCGAAAATTGTGTTTTCTGTGACGTCGGTACAAAAAAAGCTCAAAAAAAGTTTTGTGCATAATGTGAAAAACCATTAATAAAAGATAAAAAACAAATTGAATCGTCAAGGCACGTATGCAGAAAATTTGTGGGACTCATGGTTGAAAGGAAAACAAAGTAAAAAATCGAATCCCGAAACGTATTTCTTTTTGTTTACAACAATTCGGTAATGTTACTTACTGTCAAGGTCGGCCACTATGTGTTTAAAATGCGCAAAGTTGAGGACGAGCTACTTCATTTGCAAAAACTGCAATTCTGTATAACTCATAATATAATTGATCATCTTATTAATATTTTTATTTAATTTTATTAATATTTTAGTGCAAAACTTTTTTTTATTTATATTTATTTTTTTATATTGTTTATTGTTATTATTTTGTTATTTCATTAAGTTACAAACTGTAAACAATAAAGAATGAATTTTCCGTAACTCCAAACATGTTATTTTATTTTTTAACGATTAATGCCCTTTGAATTTTAAACATGGCCGACCTTGACTGTAATGGCCAACCTGGACTACAAATTTTTTTTTTTTTAAATCTTTATAACTTTTTCATTTTTAAACCTGTCAATTTACTTTGTACAGAAAAAATGTTCCTATTAAACAGGACTTTCCAACCATATACTTCAATTGTCCAAATTCATTTTTAAAAAAAAGTTATAAACAAAAGTCAAAAAGGTGGCCGACCTAGACTATGTTCCCCTATAAATAATAATTGACAATCGAATACTAATAAAATCATAATAATACTATTGTATAGTAATTATTACCATTATTATTAATGAATAAATTTAATTATTCTAACATAATTTGCATAATTGTATTATAATAATTAAAAAATTAATTAATTAATTAATTACACTGAACAGAAAAATTTATTTTTATTTAAATAAAAATTATTTGTTCCAACTAAATATTTACTTAATATTAGACAAGTAATTGGTAATTTAATTCAAATAAATTTTTTTTCTGTGTATAATAATATAATTATTATAATTGTATTAATTACATTATTATAAAATTTTATGTAATATAAATATAACACAAAATTTTCATAATTATATTACTATAATTATAATTATTGTAATTCAATTATTATAATACAGTTATTATAATAAAATTATTATAATTATAAAATATTAAATAATTATTCTAACTATAAATTTGCAGCATTTATTTAATTATTTTAATTAATTTTAATTAATTAATTAATTAATTAAATTAATTATTTATAAAAATTTCAACTCTCATGAAGACTTGAAAAGTAAAATAAAATAGAGACAAAAATAAAAAAAAAATTGAACTCGGAAAACACTGCTAATTTTGAAAAGGAAAAAAAACCAAGAACGTAACCAGAGATGCAATCGAATGAACGAATAAAAAGTGATCGAGAAAAACTTTTTTTTTTTTACAAAAAGAAAATATGAGATTTTTACCAGTTTGATTTTTACCAGAAATGTAAAATGATAATTAATTTTTTCATTAACGATAAACACTCGGATTTTTAATTCTGGAAAAAAAAACTTGTATTATTCTATAAAATAAAAAAATTTATTGCAATTTTTTTTTCTTGCGTTTGTACAAGAAATAGTGCAACGAAGTGAAAGTTAAATATTTTAAAATGTACAAATAAAACTCGTGTGTGAGTTAATTTTGTATATTTTGAATTTCGTGTATATAAATATATTGTATGTGTATTTGTAATAATGCAATAATGATATAGTAAATATTAGTTTTGCAAAAAAAAAAGAAAAAGAATATAAGAACGATAAACATTTTTAACAGGGTACTAATATACGTTTTTATATGACAAATTTAATATATAGTCGCATTAAATTTCCAAACAATTTAACATTCATTCAAAATAAATTATTTTACAACAAAAAATTAAATTAGTATTTCAAACTTATTTGTTAATTATAAAATGTAATTTTTATTATAACTGTTATAACTTACTATAATATAATATAATAATAAATTAAATAATTACAATAAAAAATAAAATTGTAATTAAATTATATTATTATATTATAAAATATTTTGCCCTTAATACAAAATCAAAAGAAAATTCAAATTTTCTGATCTTTGTTTTTAATTTAGGAAAATTTAAATTAATAATAATAAAAATTTAATGCTTTCGGGGAATGAATGTTATTTAATGTTAATAATAATTATCATAGAAAAAAGAATAAATTGACAATGGGAAGTCTGTGATAAAAATTGATTAAAAAAAAGAAATTCGAAGAGAAAATCTCAGTTATTTTGTCTTTAAAAAAAAGTTACTCGATCACTTGAGAATTGTCTGAAAGAGAATAAGTATTAAAAATTTATTTGGACTGTGAAAAATAATTTATATAATATGGTAAAAGCGAAGGGCATTCATGAAAAATTATTTTCTGATTACAATTTATAAATTATATAAATTGAAGAAAAAAAATTGTTTGCGCACTAAAAATTGAAGTTTTAGAAAAAATTTATACATTCTAAAAGTCACAACATATTTACCAATTTGTTGAAATTAACTTTTTTAAATATATATATTAAATTATTATTATTATTATTAAAAACTAAAAAGAAAAATTTATAAATTATAAGAAAACTTTTATAAAATAATTGTTTACTATTAAATAAATGAATTGTGTCGAAAAATCTATTTTTATATATAATTCTTTGTATGACAAATTTCTAAAATATAAATTCGAAATTGTAAAAAAATTTATTTCACAGTTGTGATTTTTGGAATGAAGAATAATAATTGAAATAATTAGAAAAACGTTGTTGTGCATTTGTATTGTACTTTAATTACAGGTTTAATATCTATAATATTATAATTGTGCTTTGGTGAATATTGAACGATATTTAAAAAATATATATATATATATTATATATACTTTATAAACCGTAGCATTTTTAAAAATGAAAATAAAATTTGAGGAAAATATTGAATTTATTAAAAATATTATTGGCAAGAGTAAAACAAGTTAACTTCTTCGCTGTTAAACTATTTAAAATTGTTTGCGAGGCGAGTGTCGCTTTTTACGTAACGAAAAACTTGAATGATTTTTCAAATATTATGTAGTAAACATATTGTATTAATAATTAAGAGCGCAAATTTACGAATTTATTGTATTTTTTTGAAAAATAATTTCTTTGAAATATTCTTTTAATACAATTTAATATTTTTTTTGCAAATATGTCAGAAACATAATTTTTATTATTTTTAGTATATTTGGTATTAATGATATTAATAATACTAAATTTAATTTAGCATAATTTAGTATTAATAGTATTTATAATAATAAATTATTAATTTATTATTTCACATTTCCTCAAAATGTGAACATTTTTAACCAAATTTCCACAAGCTCATTATAATAATTCAAAAATCTTAAATTTGCGTTCTCTAATTTAAAAAAATCGATCATTCATTACAATATTGGAGATTATTATGGCTATATGTATATTATATAAATTATATATTATATATTATTAGACATTGAAATACTCGTAATAAAGACACGCCGACGCTTCCTGTGAACCTGATTTTTAATTTTCCCACCTCCTTTCTTTTTTTCAATTTTTTTCAAAATACTTTTAGGCATTTAACGAATATTATTAAAATTGGTTTATTATTAAAATTTTACATAAAATTAAATAAAATTTATCAATGAAATATTGTCCATATATAATTTTTAATAATTCTTTATTTTTATTTGATTGCAAAATAAAATTACAATTAAACAGAAAGACAAATATTAATTAGCCAAAATTCTAATAGGCTTCGCACTCGAGAATTATTTTTAAAAAAAGTATCTTTAAGGCTAAAAATATTCCTGCAAAATAATTAAATTCTTGATAAAAATTATATTTCATTTTTTTGAAAATAATTAAATTCTATTGAAGAATTTTATGAAAATTTAAAATATCTAATAACTGAATTATTACGAAAAATTTAATTAATTTAATTAAAATTGTATTAAAAATAATTGAATTCTTGATGTGAAGTTTATTATTTATGGAAATAATTAAATTTTTTCAAGGAATTTAATAAAAATTGTATTGAGAATAATAAAATTCTTGTAAGCAAATTTTAACGAAATTTTGAAAATTTTGAAAATAGTCTATATCTCTTTTAAAGAATATTTCATTAAAATAATTTTTTTTTTAATTTTATTTTAATAAAAGAAAATTATCTAAATTTTAATTATTGGATTCCTGTGAAAATTTTATTATTTATGCAAATAAATTAATTTTTGTTAAGAATTTTTTTATTTATGAAAATAATTGAATTCTTGGGAAGAATTTTATTAAAATTTTTAAAATTAATTGAATTTCTTCGAAGAATTCTATTATTTATGAAAATAAATGAATTAAAAAAAAAATTTTTTTTAATAGGTATTGTTTCTAAGATTTTTATTAAAATTTTTTAGAAGAATTTTTTTATTTGAACTATTAGCGGATTTAAAGTAGTTTAGTAAATTCTAAAAAAAAGTATCTAAATAGTAGCAAATCGTAAAAATAACAATAGTAGGTTTTTATAGATTAATGCGAAACCTGTTTTAATGTTTGGAAAAAAATTTTACATGACTAGATTCAGAAACAGAAAAATCGACTAAAGCAATATAAAATAAATTTAATAAGTAATAATAAATATTTAATAATTATTATTTAATTTAATTTTATAATTTATAATTAAAGCACAATTATAGGTACAGGACTTAATAAAATTTCTTATCTTATTATGCTTTGTGCTTAGTTTAATTGTATAACTTTTTTTTCCTAACTACTTCTCTAATATTATACTTTTTTCACCTATATTCTAAAAAAAAATTGCAAAAAAATATTATATTAAGCTTCAATACTTTTCCATTGAGCTAGTGAACAATTATCAATACACTCCAAAATCATTTTATGAAAATGGAATATCATTATAAATGTTGCATAAAAAATTGATTTCACTTTTTTTCGAATAAAATGTACAATTTGTGACTCTGTTACTTAAAAAAAAAAATAATAGATCCTTTTTTTCAATAAATTCTATAAAAATATAAAGCTATTTTTTAAAAGCTTGTAAAATATTTAAAAACATATAATAGAAATAAGAATAAAGATAACAAAAAAAAATAATAGAAATAATGATAATAAAAAAAATAAAAATAAAAATAGTGATAATAATAAAAATAATAATAATAATAATAATAATAATAATAATAATAATAATAATAATAATAATCACCGCGTGAATCCATCAGTCTACAAAATTGTCCATTTGAACTACAAAGGAACCGAAAAATATTTTCAAGGGTAGCTGACAAACACCCAGTCTTCATTATCTTTATCTTTTCTTTTCTCCTCGTAAACAATCGTCGACACAAAGTCTCTTGAAAGATCTGAAATTTTTTGTGTTTTTACTTTTTTTTATTTATTCTTTAGTATAAATATTATAAAAACTTATAATTAGAAGTACTTTTCTCGATTTATGTTTAAAATAGTTCAAAATAGTTTAAAATAGTTTAAAACAATGTTAGTTTAAAATAGTCTCATTCAAATATTTTTAAAAATACTTTTAAAAATAATTTTAAATATATTAAAAATTAATAGAAAATTGTTAAAATATTGCAGATTCTATAATTATATTCTATAATTACGATAAATATTTACGATGATTATTATTATTTACGTTAAATATTCTTATTTACCATTAAATTGAAGTTCAGAATCAACATTGATATTTGAAGTTGGAGGTTCAACTCCAATATCGACGTTGTTATTTTGAAATTCACTCAATTTGTTCTTTAAGAGTATTTTACTGCACTCTCCCAAATCTTCAAGTTTCTTCAATTCCGTTTTATAGCTTGCGTCCTCCTCGACAGATTCAGTTTCCGTACGATCAGTCACTTCGTCCTGTTCATCATCAATATCGTTTTTTATTTCTGAATTATATTCGCTTTCATTAATACTACAATTATCGTAAGGAATTGCGTCAATTGATGTTAAAATATTTGAATCTGGTGGATAGATTCGACTACTCGTCATATATTCAGACAAATCAAAATTCAAAACATCAGCTAATAATTTCTCCTTATTCTCCACATCCTTTTGTATAGAATCTAAATTTCTATCTGATTTTAATAACATATCGTTATCAATACTCAATGTAAGTAATGAAGAATGAGTCGTCACACCATTATTTAATTTAAATTTATGATTAAAATTCGATGAATCATCACCAAATCCATTGCTATGAATTCCGTTAATTGTTTTGTTTGATGATTTTCTATTTCTACGTTCAGGAGTAAATACAACGTCCTCGAATTCTTGTTCGGCAATTTTTTCAAATATTCGTCGACGATCATTGCGTTTTTCATTTTCCTCGAGAGTTGGCAATTTACACGATTCAATTATTCCGACTCGTAACGTTGAGTCATTGTCAGTCACCAAGGGAGTTTCGAGTTCCAAAGGAACAATTGGCGGTATTTCTAAGGCTTCCTCCGCATTTACTATTGACGTTGTGTCCGTTCCTATTGTCACAGAAGGCAGGACACTGAAAAAAAAATTTTAAAATCTATTTTTTTGATTTCTTTGAAAAATTAGTTTTAAAAAACTAGTTCAAAATTAAAATACTCACCCGATTGCTTGTATAATATTCGTTGGATTAATTTTATGAAATGGAATTGCTGGAACAATTGAACTTTCCTTAAGTTTTGAAGTCAATTCCAAAATTCCCGTAGTCACCGGCTTACTAATTTGGGCAAGAGATATTGAATCCATCATGGAATCTGTATCTAAAAATTAAAAGAATAAAATTAAAAATTGGAAAACAGAAATAATTTTTAAAGTGTATACAATGGAAAAATTAGAAGATACTCACTGGAGATGTAAGAATTATTCTCAGGATGATAAGCAACTCTAATAATATTTCTTTTGCCTTCAAGGATAAAGATCTCGTCTTTCGTGCACGCAACGTGAGTAACGTGTCTCACGTCAGTTATCGCGGCCGTAATACTAATAGTTATTGGATTAACAACATAAATAATATCATCACTATAAGTGACCAATAAATCATCAGAGAATGGCAATACAATTCCAAACGTCGGCTCTCCTCTACTTTTTCTTGTACTCTCCTGCGCTGGATTCAGTAATTCAACTTCCGAATGGCCAAATTTAATTGCATCCTAAAAATCGCCACACAAATTATCAAGTATATTCAAAATATAGTATAAAAAATACAAATAAATATTATTTAATACTATAAATAGGAAAATAAAAAATAGAAACAAATATTAAATACTGTATAAATATAAATATAAAAAGAAATAAAATATTAAATACTATATAATGCAAATAATAAAATAGAAAATAAAAATTAAATAAATAAAATAAAAATGATAATTTTGGAGAAAATGAAACATTTCTATACTTTAAACATCAGTGTCTTTAATACAGTTCCATTTTTATCAGCTTGCCAAAGTCTTAAACCAGGTCTGCTCGCATAAATCACCGGATTCTGAACATGACTAATACGATTTCCAAATACTGCTCCTAATTTACCTAATCTAAAATCAATGTTCAACGGTATTCGATTAATTTATTAAATTTCAATAATATATTTTTAAATAGAGAAAATTTCTTTTGTATATTTCAATAATTTTATGAAGAAAATAGAACTTACATCTTACGCTCCTTTTGTCCCACCTGCATCACTTTTCCTTTATCATTTAGATTGACGAGAATTGTCCGAAATAATGTGGACACTAATAGTAAACCTTGTTGATAACTAAGCTGTACAATTGAATACTTTTCGTTTAAAAGTTCCGACGACTTGGATAAATGCTGTAATGATGAAATTTTATTAAAATCTACTATAATTGATGGAAGTAAAAAATATAAACATAAAAAATAGAAAATTAGAAAAAGAAATCAGGCCTCGGATTAACTTTAAGGGGCAAAAAGAAGTCAATTTTGTCGATTAAAAATACAAAAAAGGCGTTAATTTAATTCAGTGTTGTGAAAAAGAATTAATTTTCCTGATCTTTCAGATTTCTAAATTCAATTATTCAAAACTTGAATAATTTTGCCAAAAAAATATGTAAACACTTATTTGATTTTCGACAGGAAGTAAAATTGAAAAACTTAATTTAAAACCTCTTGAAATTTAATAATTTCAAAAAATTACAACCATAACTCTTCAAAAATTCAATTATTTTCTAAAATTTTAACGAAAATTCATCTCTAATTCAATTATTTTTAATAATTTTCTGAAAGTTTTTCAAGAATTCAAATTTAAATACAAAAAATCAATTCTTTTATAATTGCAACTATCACTGTTTTTTTTAAATTATTAACTTATATTCTCAAAAAATTATAATAAAGAAATTCTTAAAATTAATTTTTTCAAAATTATTTTAATAAAATTTTTAGAAGCTAATTTTTTGTAATTTTCATTTTTAAATTTACTATTGAAGATTTTTCATTAAAATTTTTAAGAATTCAATTATTTTTTAAAAATTAAAATTAAAATTAAAATTCTCCAAAAGTTGATTATAAAAATTTACAATTAAAATTCTCCAAACGTTGATTTTCAAAAATTAAAAAAAAATAAATTACTCTCAATTAAATTTTACAAAATTTCAATTATTTAAACATTTTTTAATTAAAGGTATATTTTAAAAATTAAATTATCTCATAAGAATTATTCGAAAGTTACTATTGAAACAATATGTCTCTAATTATTTTTCACACTATAAAAGTCGAAATAAATTTAATTTTATATTAAAATTGTGGTATTTTGTTAAAATATTTGGAAGAAAAGTAGAAAAAGTCTCATTTTTTAAAAATAGTCGAAAAAGTCATAATATCCAAGACCTGATAAATATGAAAATAAGAAATAGAAAATATGAAAAAGGTGTCAAAATAAAAAATAGAAAAATGTATAAAAAGTACCATATAAAAATCGATTTCTGTAAAAACGACCAAACCGTCTTGATCACCACTAAATAGTTTCATGCCATTTTTCGACCAATCAACAGCCGTGACTGTTGATTTGTGTAAACCGGCAATATTATACCTCTCGACCTGAAATTAAATAATGTAAAAAAATATGTCCTCTTTTTAAAAAGAAACCTAAAGAAAAGAATATTTTTACTTGTTTCTTCTGTTTTGGTTTTAAACTTTCTGGCAATGAGTCTGGAGGTTGTTTTGGTATTTGAAAAACTGTAACTATTCCTTGATCATTTCCCACGGCAACCATATAATCGACTGTTGAAATTACTCTTATACAAGTAATCACTGTGTTTACATTCTGAAAGTACAATTAAAAATTATTTTTTGCTTTTTACTACTAGCAATTTTTTTTTTTTGAAAATAAAAACTTACTTCACATCGAAGTTTTTGTATTTCTCCATTCTCGCGATTGAACCAATAAACAAGACCGTGATTTGTGCCAATTGCTATAAATTCCGACAGGACATCAATGCAAGTGAAATTAATATTTTGTGAGAAAAGTCCATTTTGTATTTTTGCTGGTAATCTTTGAAGAAGAGTTGCTAATGGAGCCCATTCTCTTAGCACACCACTGTCCTCACTCATTGGCGTTGACATTATTGCCTGTAATTAAGTTCTTTTCTCCTTCCTTATCTTTTTTATTTATTTATTTATTAATATACTGATAGTATAAAACAAACATTCCTCGTGTTAAAAATAAATACATACACGAAAAAGACGTCATCTATTACATTAAATATTATCCATTCTAAAATTATTTAAATTTCCAAAATCTATAATATGAATTAATGTTGAATATTTTATACCCTGTATATTTTTATATTCATTCCCAAACAATGTGAATAATCAAAACAAAACTAACAATAACAAAAACACCTTGATTATAGGTTAATGTTTAATTGTTTAAAAAATTCGCCCTTGTGACAAAACTTTGTTTAATAAACATATTTATGGAAAACGTTTATATTAATTATATGTAAAATAAATAAATGAAAAAAGGATAAAAATTGAATTTATTACCTCTACTTACAAATACTCCAAAAAGGATATTGTAGAGATGATAAATGTAATCTATCTATCTGTCAGTTTATAATAATTTACCATTTTTCTATTTCTCATGCAAACTGGCATTTTTAATTACATTATTACTGGATTGAAGCATATATGTGTAATTAATTTATGACACATTAAAAAAAAATATATTCTCACATCCCGGTAAATGGTATTTACGCACGTCGCCCACGTCAGAATCCAAAAATTCTTGGAATTTCTTTTCATTAAAAATGCATCCACCATGTTTTATTGGCGCGAATTTTAAATAGATGTTGCTCATTTGAAAATTCAAATTTACGCGGCAAAAAGGAACCAATGAGCTCCATTTTCGTGACGCATGTGACGCATGTGCAATGTAAAAATCGTGTTTTGGAAACGGGTTCTTATAAATTAAATATTTTATTTGCACATGGATAATTAATTTTCCTGTATTTTTATTAGTAAATAACGTAAATACAATTTTTTTATTTACATTTTTTGATAAATTTATAAATAATTAAGTCTCACGGATTGTTAATTTGTTATATTAAAAATTAAAACGGACAATTTTCAATTTTAATAAAATGGCTCAATTCGGAAACGTTGTAAGTACATAGTATAATTTAAATAAATTTTTATTAAAGCATTAATTTATAATTATAAATGTAATCAGAATATAAAAAGCATTTACTACGTGTTAATTTATTAACTCTTTAATTATTGATATGTATTTTTTAAGTAAATTGCAGTATTCTTTTAACTTCTATTTTTGAGGTTATGAACGAAATTTGTCTATAATAAACGTAAATACATTAATTATATGCAATTTAATTATTTATAAGTAAATGAAACATAATTATTTAGACATAAATTAGGTTTTACTTTTAAAAATAATTTATTTTTCAGTCAGCTGATCAAATAATGGTTGGCAGTAGTGTTTTGTCTCGACCTGCCGAAGAATTCGATAATGATGTGAGTGAAAACATTTTACAATTTTATTAATAATTAAATAAATACTAATTTTTCTTTTACATTTTAGCCTTCTGTGGAAGCGATGTGGGCTATGAAAGCTTTCGAGCACGCTGAAATTTACTTTAACGTAAGTGAATTAATAATTTTTTAAATAAAACTTGAGATTTAATTTTGTTTTAAGAATTAAAAATATTAATGCCCGATAGATTTTTAAATATTTTAAATACTAAATACTAATTAATTTAAAATTTAAAGTAAATAGAATTTTATTATATTCCTAATTTCTAAATTACAGATCTTGTGTTCGGTGGATCCAAAATTACTGAGATTAACACCTCACGATGAGCAAATTTACAAAACGTTTCGCGAAACATTTCCAAATCTCAAAGTCGACGTGATAAATGAAGACGAATTAAAATCTGAGGAGGGAAAAAAAATATGGAGACCATTTTGCGAGCATTTTAAAAATGTCGTTGAAGAATATAGTTTTGGCACTCTTTTGCGTTCAAATTGTAAGGATGGTTACACGGAAACTAATAGTATTTTAACAACGAGAATACAATTTTACGCCATTGAATTGGCGAGAAATCGTGAGGGTGACAACGATGGAATTCGAGAGAAATTCAAACCGAAGAAAATAATTAATAACGAAAATAAGTCGTAAAAGTAGATAATTAATTTTAGTCACACTTTATTTTTGTTTTCATTTTTTATTAAATTGAAAAAAAATGTTTTTTTGTACACAATCCTTTTTGTATAATATAAGACTCGTATATTTTTTACAATTATTATATTAATTAAAATTAATACATTTTAAGTTTTCTTCTTTTTAGTTAATTTAAAACTAAGTAATGGATTTGATGATCTTGCGGCGAATTTTGATTTTGCTGCAGTCGCACCAGATGCTGCGAGATTACGATCGAACTTCCTTTTTCTTCTTCCTAGACCAACTAATTTTTTCAATGAATTCGGCACTAAATATTCGGGTACATCTTTTAAATGCGGTTGCAATTTAACTGTGTGCAATGCTTTATCCTGTCGTAGACATTGTAAATCTCGAGGATTCTCTTCAAAGTGACTTTTCAATTTTTCACAACTCAATACTTCTTGTTTGATTTCCTTGAGTCGTGCCTCTCGTACTGCTATTCTTGTAACTGCTTTCCACGCATCCTTGGCTCGATAACTATTTTCAAAAAGAAAATTTGAATTGAAATTTATTTTAAATTATTCAATTTTTATTTTAATATAAAATTTTTAAAAAAACTCACCGAAAGCCTTCAACTTCGTCTAGTTTGAATTGATAAGTTTTAAAAAGTGTTTCACGACCATATTCCTGTTTTAATTCTTTGTCAACATTTTCCATTAGTTCTCGTTCGCGAATTGATATGAAACTTAAAGCAGATCCTTGATTTTTTCCACGAGCTGTGCGACCTGCCCGATGAATATAAGAATTCACGTCCAAAGGAAAGTCGAAATTTATCACATTCGAAACGAATTGAAAGTCAATACCACGAGCTACTCCAGATTCTTTGTCTTTCCTGCGTTTTGTCTTTTGTTTCACCACGTGGGGCTATAAAGAAAAATTTAAATATTAATCCTGCTTTAAAAAAATATTTTATTATTCAAAAAAAGAAATTTACTTCTTCCAGTGCTTGTTCATCGGAAGCAATGATAATATCGTAAGTTCCGGTATTAAATTGCATGACTGCTCTGCATCTCGAACTTGCCGGCAATTCGGAATTCAAGACACAAGTTGGAATTCCAAATTGTTCTAAAAACAATTTTAACTTGTAACAACGATCCACTGTATTTACGAATATGATACTTTTTCCCCTGAAATATTTAATTTTATTATTTATTCGATTAATTGTTTTCAAATTATTTAATTTTTCTTATTTACTTTTGTATTATTATTTCTTTTTTTTTAAATTGTAATTACCGAATTAAGTGAAGCTTCAAGAGGGCGTATAAAATCGCAGCTTTATCATTTTCCTCGGCTGCAAGTGTATAATGAGCGAGTTGCGATGGAGGAGCAAGAGGCGGTTCTTCCAGTTTTAAAATTGCCGGATTATGTAATACTAATTTTTTCAGAGTCAAAACATCATTGGATAAAGTTGCAGACGCCAATATTGATTGACAAGCTTTTGGTAAATGTTTCAATACACCCTTTACTTCGTCTTCATAGCCAAAGGAAAATACCTTTAAATAAAGAATTATTTTTTCGTCAAAAATCATAATTCGTCCAAAATTATATTTTTTATTATGTATTAATCAAACGAAGGAAAAGAATAAATTAAAAGATTAAAAATAAATAAAGTAAATTTCTAGATAGATTAAAAATTATACGAACCAAATCAGCTTCGTCGATAATTAATGTTTCGAGACTATTTTTTAAATTTAAATTGCCGGCATTTATGTGCTGTAGAGTTCGACCTGGAGTACCGACAACAATATCGGGACATCTGAGTAGCAATGGTTTTTGAACATTTAAATCTTCCTGTGGACTGATATCGACTTTTGTCACTTCTCGTGAACATTTTGTCGTCAATGCGTCGATTACTTGAGAAATTTGTTTACATAATTCTTTGGAGGGCGCGAGTATAAGTCCTTTCACTTCCTGGTGACTCTGATTTTCCTTTCTAGTCAATATCTTTTGAATTAAAGGAATTGCGAACGCTCCAGTTTTACCCGATCCAGTTCGAGCTCTTATCAAAACATCCTTTCCGTCCAGTAAAAGTGGAATTGTTTTCTCTTGAATCAGGGTCGGTTCGGCCCAACCTAATTTTGCGATTGCCTGTAAATTTTTAAATTAACCACAAATCTAATTAATTAAAATACTTTTTTCTAAACATACAGTAATTTAATTAATTTAAATAAAAAACTACAAAATAATATTTGGAGAAATCCACTAAAAAATGATTTACGACCGAAAGAATCACGCAATTTATCATAAATTAAAATAAATATTTAAAACCTACAAAAAAGTAAATATTCATTTTTTATTTACTTCAGAAATATTGAACTATAATCATCAATAAAATAAATAATAACACAAAAAAAGACATAAATATTCCAAAACAAATTTTTAAAAAAAACGTGACATAACCTATAAAATACTATTTTAGTCATTTTACATCTACTTACTTTTAAAATTCTGTCATCTAACTCCATTTCATGAAAATGTTGAATTTTTAATTCATCCTCCTCGTCTGATGGCACGTCCATTGTCGTATTCATTATTTAAAAAAAACTAATTAATCTACACAATAAATTAATATTTACCACGTGCCAAGTTTTATTGTTTTTCAACCAGGGAACTTTACCCACATGAAATCCATGAAGTACAGTCAATAAGGAAATTTAAGGAAAATTACCATACTGACAGATTTGACAATTTTTTACTTTCTCCAATTTTTTATTAATACAATAAAAAATTGAAAGAAAAAAACACGTTATTCCTTGATTTTAAAAATAATTCCAAATATTACAATTCCCATAGATAATTTTTCGTCTAAATGGAAATTAATTAATGTTTATTTTTACGATTAGGAGAAATTTCCGTAAATGTCAGAAATTTAGTCTTTGTTTCCCATCCACATTTTTAGTTTACAAAACAAAAAAAAATATAAACAGAAAATTTTTGTTTATTTATTATGATAATGAATTGTTTTAAAAATCATTTTTCTTGATTTAAAATAAATTCCATTAGTTTATTGGCAAATTAAAGATCGATATTATTAAAAGTGATATAATAATTCGTTACATAAGTACTGATGAAATCAAAATCACAAATATTTTAAATTTAGATATTTATTAAATTTAATAAAATACTTTTGGAATTATTTTTCTGGATCGAATAATTAATGAGCTAGTAGTTAATTATAAATTCTTGATAATAGGAGAATTTTTGTAAAATATAGATTGAAGGACAATAATATTAAAATGAAATATTAAAATTTCGCGCCAGTATGTCGGCCATTTTTAAACTGCTTTAGTCGTTTCATAACCTCACTTCCTGCTGCTAGTAGCCAAATAGCAGCAGAAGACGCGAGCGCTATGTGTGCGCCTAGTAACATCAAAAAATCTCCCCGTTGTTCTCAACTGCCGTTGATTTGTATTCTTTGTTGTGATATTCTTTAAAATTTTGTTAACATCTAATTGAAAGAGAATTTTGAGTGTTTATCCCAAGTGTTTTTGACGATTGCAGGCGCATTATAACGTCCGATCGGAGGTGGTTTAAAAAGCTGTGCTTGCTCGCGCGTACAATCGGTACTTGTGTCACGTGGTGGCCACCCACGTTTCAGATTGTGGGTAAACAAGGAGGATAGAAAATATTTGTGCGTGTTGCGGGGAGCGGCAAAGTACAGTGATCGGGCGACTATACACGTTCGTCGTCGTTTGCTTTGGTGCGGTGTGTTGTTAGGGCCGGCCATAACCGTGGTGTGTGGAAAAATTTTGTCTCTCACTCGACCACGATGTCCACGTATTCTCGCACGCAAGAAAGCGACGCGTGGGCGCTTCTCGCACTTAAATCGGCGCCGGCGAGTCCTTTTTCCAAGGGAACACCCATCGCAAGACTCGAGGGTCGCGAATTTGAGTATATGGTACGCCAGCGACGTATCACCATCGGAAGAAATAGCAGTAAAGGCCAAGTCGACGTCAATGTGGGCCATTCTAATTTCATCTCCAGGCGGCACCTAGAAGTTTTTTTTGATCATCCGTTCTTCTTTATGACCTGTAATGGCAAAAATGGAGTTTTCGTCGATGGGGTTTTTCAACGTAAAGGAGCACCCGCTTTTCAACTGCCAAAGACGTGAGTCGTCCCGACCTTTCCCCCCTGATTCCCCCCCTGGCCACCTGAACACCTCATGGTCGACCTACTTCCCTTATAAATTTTCATCATTTCAAGCAAATTCAAAGTCTCTATTGACTTTTAGAAACAGAGAAGATTTGTTTTGAAACATTTTTTTCTTAGTTACAACACTTTTAGTCATGTTTGTGTTTTTGGAGGAAGAGGTTAGCAAAGTTTTGTAATGATGATTACTTCTGAGATACCCGGTATTTATCTCGAAAATGTTATGGTCAGATTGCACAAAATGACTAAGAATTCGTTAAGATTACGTTAACGGGTTGTTGGACTTTATCAACATCATTTAGATGATTAAAAAAGAAATAGATTTATACTTTTACTATTATTTGTTCATACATTTTCCCGATAATTTGTTTTCATTCATTCGAAAAAAGTACTTTTATTTATGAAAAAATTTATCATATATATACAATTCCTTTGATATTTATAAACAATTTTTTTGTTCTAAAATTTTTCAAATACTTGCCTAATTTGATTAATTTTCAATTTCATGTATTAATAATAAAGTACTTAGTTTTACATAATGTCAAGTGAAGTAGAAAAAAAATAATATAAATCACTTTTCGAGGTTAGGAAAAGAACTTTGAATTTGCTTATCCAAATCATGTTTGACGAAAAAATGTAAACTGGTTCTGATTAAATCTTTTATATAATTTCTTCTTTAATAGATTTCAAATAAAAGTTTAAACATTTAATTTACAATAGTCAACTTTGTTGTTATAAAACCAAAGAAATTGCATGTATACGTCATCAGTTATGATGAAAACAATATATAGTAATAGTAAACAGTTGACATTACAATGTGACGTATTTGCTCTAATTGTATCAAGCTTATAATTTTTATTGACATTTTTGCTTTCATTTTTTCTCAAATACATTTTTAATTATCATCTTTTATTCGAGAAAATCATAAAAGAGTTAACTGTGTATTTTTGAGAATTTTTTTTTAAACATTCTAATAAGACGCTTACGTCAGAATATCGTCACTATGTATAATAGTTGATATTCTCTTCTTCATACATTGATTTAATTGTTATCTTTTATAATTACTTCTGTATTTAAATCCCATTTCATTTTATTTAATATTTGGATATTTTTTTTATAATTTAATTTTAGTGATTTATTTATATTTTTTTCCAGAAAAGAAAGAAATGCATGTAAATAATAAATAACGAGAATTGAAAATATACAATCCCTTTAAACTCAATTGTCTTAAACTGTAAATAAACACTACCCTTGATTATAATATTATTGATCTATCCTTGTCAGATCAGCATAAAACTTAAAAGCCATGAATTTGCTGCTCATTTCCAGTTATTCTTATAACTTTCAAGGCTACTTATCATGAGTATAAATTAGGTATTCTGTGATCAATTGTTGCCATATTAGGAAATCTTTAACGATTCATTTTCCGAGAGATATATATTTATTTGTAATAATTGATAATCAAGTTTAATTAAATTTTTTAGAGAGGAAAACAATCTTTTATTTTTTTTTTTTGTCACTTTTTTAAAAGAAGATTAAATAATATAAATATATGATTTATGATTACAAGAGAAATTTTTTCCTTTACAGGTGCACATTCAGATTTCCGAGTACAAACATAAGGCTCGTGTTTCAATCGTTAGTTGATGAACAAGAACAAGGCAATGTTCGTGTGCCTTCACCGCCAAAGCAGAGAGCACCTTTGCCACCACTTCGTATTAATATTCCTGACACTGGTTACAGTAGTCCATTTCCATCACCAACGGGGACAATTAGTGCGGCAAATTCATGTCCAGCGAGTCCACGTGCCGGTCAAGGTAGACGAAATATATCGGCTGATTTACAAATGGTCGCTGCCTATGCGGCGGCTGTTGCTAATGATCCACAAAATTCGACGAACGAAAGACACGAGGGTGGACAGAGTACAAGTCGAATGATGAGTCCAGAACCAGGTGCCGAATCACGTTATCGCGGTGGTAATAGTTCCGGTGCTAATGGAACGTCAGCGCGTTATAGTCCACCGAAAGATGAATCGAAACCACCATATTCTTATGCCCAACTTATTGTACAAGCAATTGCATCGGCACAGGATAAACAATTAACATTGTCCGGCATTTATTCGTACATTACGAAAAATTATCCATATTATCGAACAGCCGATAAGGGTTGGCAAAATTCGATTAGACATAATCTTTCATTGAATCGTTACTTTATCAAAGTACCAAGAAGTCAAGAGGAACCGGGCAAAGGTTCATTCTGGAGGATAGATCCACAATCCGAGGCAAAACTTATTGAACAGGCATTTCGACGTAGAAGACAACGTGGTGTTCCTTGCTTTAGAGCACCCTTTGGACTCTCCTCGAGGTTCGCTTCTTTTCTTTTTTTTATACTACATTGTCGGAGAAAAATAATTTTTTTCTATTATTTAGAATATAAGTTCTAATTTTATTTTATTTATTTTCACATTTAAACTTTAGATGTAGTTTTCAAGAGAACCTTTTTTTTTAATTTTTGTTCCAAAAGTATGAATTTTTTTATTTTCACAAGTTATTCACTAAAGAAAAAATTAAAAACATAAATTATTTTGAAACTTTAAAAACATTATTTTTTATATCACTTTTTGACACTTTGATTTTCTCTAAAACTGGAGGAATTATTTTGTTTGCAAATTCGTAATTATTATTTATCAAAAGTGATAAGAGTCAGATTTTGTCAAATTTAATTGAAAATAAATAATTTTTTCAAATATTTTATAACAATTTTTAAAAATTAACTTTTAAAGAATTTTAATTGAAAATTTTGGAAATAATTGAATTCTTAAAAATGTTAATGAATAATCTTCAAGTGTAAATTCAATAAAAAAAGAAAATTAATGAAAATTAGGTTCTAAAAATAATATTAAAATAGTTTTGTAAAAAATAATTCTCTGAATTATTTCGTTCTTATTTTTTAATATTCAATAAAATTTTTAGAATTATTTTGAACATTTTGGAGAAAATAATCATATACAAAATTTTTAATTAAAATTCTTCAAAAAATTAGTTTTTTTAAAAAATTTTATCGAATTTCAATTATTTTTCAAAGAGTTTACTAAATTTAAATTAATTTTTAAAAGATTTTTATGTATCAAATTTAAATTTTTTGGACATTTCTTAATTGTATGTAATTGTAAAACTTGTCTTTCAAAAATTATTTAGAAATATTTTTAAAAAGTTCATTTTACGAATTTCTTTATTAAAATTTTTAAAATATTCTACCTTAATATCTTTAAAAAAGGAAAATAAACGTTTTGCAATTATTATAAAAAGTAAAAAAAGAGTGAATATTATTTACTTAGTAACGTTTTCCTCATTTTGGTATTTTCAGAAAAATAACTCATAAAAAATTTTGAACAGTAACAATTTTAATAAATTTGGTTTTATTAGCGATAAATTAAATTGTTACGTTTTTTGTTTATCTTTGTGATTTTTTATGATCCAAGCAGATCTTTTTGGAAAAAACATTATATTTGAAATGAATCAACATTTAAAAATTCATTTTTTTTTTTTAATTAATTTACTTGAATGAATATTTAATATTAGAAAACTATTTTAATTTATCATTTCCTCTTTGTCGGCGACTGTCGGAAATTAATTAATTTTACTTTATTTTAGTAATTAAATGAATATAATTTAAAATTTAATTAAAAGTTATATAAATAAGTAATGTTAAATTAAATTTTAATGATGATTTTAATGATTATTGCAGTTATCTTTAATTTTCTTTAATTTTCCTCTAAAATTTAGAATTCGATTTGTATTTAATTTATTAAAAATAAATATCTTTCCTCCAAAGATCAGAATTGCAAATAAAAATGCAAGGAACAATACCAAATATGTAGAAGAATTTTGAAGAGAAGTTAGATGCACCGACAACTTTATTTCCGAGTTCCAGAGGTTTTTGAGAAATGAAATTATTCTTGACTGGTTTATTTATTTTTACTTATATTTATTTGTAGAATTTTTTTTTCAGTATTTAGATAATTAAAAAAATAATGAAGAGAATTTTTATTTCATTATTTTTTTTTGTCTCTTCAATGTTTAGAATGTTTTTTTAATGTGAATTTTATTTAAAACAGGAGTGCACCAGCATCACCTTCGCACGGTGGAATTAGTGGCTTGATGACACCAGAATGTTTAAGTAGAGAAGGCTCACCTGGTCCGGAATCATATCCAGATAGCTCTGTTCCTTCACCAGCTGGACAACTCACGAGTCAATCAGCTCCAGGATCTCCAGGGCATCCTTATGCTCCTCCACCTCCTCACAAAGGTCGTTTAATGCAACAAATTACAGTTGTTACTAATGGTGTTAATAACGATTCAGCTAGAGAAGGTGAGATTTTTATTTCTAAAGAGTAATTTCTTGCAATTTTCCCGGCAGAAAAGAATTCAATAGAAATTTCCCATTACGTGGATCACAGTTAGTCCATTTTTTTCCCATTTTTATCTCTTTAAATTATTAAAATTTTGTCTAACACCTAAAATCATAGATATTTTCCCCTTTTTTAAAAAATACAAAAATTGTCGTTTTTTGTAATTCTAGAAAGTTTTTAGTTATTTTGAAGAAAAAATCGCAACTCTTTGAAAACTGGAAAAAGTTTTAGTCTTTTGAAACTTAAAAGTCTTTACAATTTTCTCAGATTTTTAAACTAAAAATTTATTTTATTCAAGGCAATAAAAAATATAAAATAACTTTTACTTTACTACTTACAACTTTTCAAATTTTTAAAAAGAAATTTGCTTTGGAAATAGTGAAAGATATTCTAGAAATAACAATTTTTAATAATAAACTTTACATTTATTTTGGAGAAAATTTTACCAAGTCCGAAGTAAAATAAAGTACTAAAAGTTACTTATAAAGTAAAATTCATTGAATATTGAAATAAAAGTAAAGTTACAATAATTTGTTACTAAATTTGAAAAATCCCCTTTTAAAATTTGAATCCTCCTTTTTTGCCTAATATTACGTAAAAAAAAATCACTGTGATCCCTGTAATTAATACTTTTTAATTATTTATCAATTAAAATTAACATTTTTGCATTATTTTCGTAATTTTTTATGATCAGGACATTTATTTCATCGTATTTTTTATTTTCATACCTATTTTTTATTTTTAAGATTTTCTTTATTTTTGTTTGGAAACAATCGTGTATTGTTATCTTTTATTTATTTACAAAATAATTTTTTTAACAAAAATAAGTATACTACAAATAATATTCCTGAAATATGAATATCACAATTTTTCTGAATTTCAATCACTTTGAATGACTTTTTAGAATAGAAAATATTCTGAGACGTGAAAATTTTAAATGAATTTCTTTATTTTCAGGTAAGAAAGAAAGTACTTGTTTCTCTTATAAAATAAGTAAATAATATTATTTAGCAACTTGTATATCTATTTTGTTCACATTTATTTAAAACGGACTTGAAACTTTCTTTGTATTTTAAACAAACAAATAGCAAATTAAATAACTGCGTTAACAAATTAATATATATATATATATATATATATATATATATTTTAATTAAGTTAATATTAACAGTTAACGAGGTTATACTTGAAGGAAACGAAAATTTATTATAAAATTTGTAAATAGAATTACAATTCATTGAAAATTTTTTTTAGATAAATATTTGGTGCCTGGGACCGTAGTGGAGGAGCATTCTTTGTCTCCGTCAGGACAATATAGTCCAGCGCCTGTTATTGTACAAACGACTTATAATTATAGGTATTTATCTAGATTTTAATCATTTTCTTTTACTATTTTATACTACATACTATTTTTTTTACATATTTAATTACATTTTTATTTATTTATTCATTTATTTATTTATAATTATTTTGCATATAAAGTTTTTTTTTGTCCTACATTTATTATAAGAGTGGTCTCAAGTTAAAGTAAAATAAAAATTTTAATTTATTTATTGAGATACATTACCGAAATTTAAAGAAATAGTCAAATTTTCAAATATCCTATTTTCAAAAATATTAATGACATTCTTTGCGTAAGAATTTAATTTTTTTCATAATAATTTTAATAAAATTCTTCGCAGAAATCCAATTATGTTTAAAAATTTACAAAAATTCTTATCAAAATTTCAATTATCTTTATAAATAATACCTAAATTTTTTCTCCGAAATTCAATTATTTTCAAAACTTTTAATAAAATTCTTGGCTGAATTTCAATTGTTTTTAATACAATTTTCATCAAATTTCTCGAAAAACGCAATTATTCTTAAAAATTTTATTAAAATTTGTCAAGAGAATTCAATTATTTAAAAATTTGTTGATAAAATTCTTTATGAAAATTCAATTTTAAGAAACATTCAATTGTTTAATAAAATATTTGTTTTTACAGTTAAATAATTGAATTCTCGTAGAATTTTTTAATAAATATTGATTTAAAAATGAATTTCGAATTAAAATCTTTGAAAATTTGAACTATTCATACTTTTAATTAAGAATTCTATAGAATTCATTTTTCTCAATAAGTTTAATGGAATTTTTTTTAATTATTTGAAGTTTTTAATTTCTAATATATATTTAATTGAAAAATGGCAGAATAATCAAAATGGCGTAAAATTAAATTGTAAACAAAAGAACTTGAAAAATTCCGTTTTTTAACCTGAAAAACCAGGAAAAGTCAGGGAATTTGAAAAGAGCAAAACCCTGTATCAGTTAATTAAAAATAATCTTAATTAAATGTACAATGTATTTATGTTCTATTTTAGGATATTCCAGGGATCACAGTTTGTTACATATTCACCTTTTTACACCAATTGTTTCAAGCTTCAATGTAACTAAATTTTTTATCTATTTAAAATTTATTTTATCCAAATTTCAACGAAATTTTAATTTAAATTACTTGAAATATATTCTTTTGATTTAAATTGTCATCCATCGAAATTTAAATCAATTCTAATTAATTTTAACGTACGTGTTAAATTGTTTTGTGTTATATTTCTTTTTTTTTTAAATAATTCAAATTTTTTTAACCTATTTAAAAAAAAGGAACTGTGATCCCTGTGTTTTTAAATTTACATTTCTATATTGAATTTCTCATGCGATGAGAATGTGAAAATAACAAAATAATCTAGACATTAATTTCTTATTTATAGTGGGAGCTTTATTGGCCCTGAATCAGGTGTTGGGGTGGGTAAACGTGCTCATGAAGAACCTGACAGCTCGCCAGGTTCACCGGCTCCACTTGCCATTGTTGAAAGTCCTGAACCACCTGAACATCAACAGTCGCAGCAGAAACGCCAACGCGTTCACGACTCAGATGATCATTGAATTATCTAGACCTTTTTCTATTGTAGGATATTGTTATATTAATTCACGTATCGTCAGATGATTCGCCCATTTTCTTCCACTTGAACAATGTGTGTATATATTACATATATATATATAAATTTTTTTTTAAATTTAAAAATACAAATTATTTTTTTTTTTGTAGAAAGTTATTTTTAATGTCTTATTTGTTGATAAAAAAAAGAAGGAAATTAAGTTTAAAAAAAGAGAAAATTTTTGTAGAAATTTAAAAAACTTATTAAAGTTTGTGAAACTTTAGTTAAAAAAAAAAGAAATACTGTTCTTATTGAATATGGAGGGGTGGGAGGGAGATATATAACGATTGGCATTAGTTTTCTTCGTTTCTTTTTGGAAGAAGAGCGGCTAATACATCTGAGATTTGCGTAGAGTCCTAACCCACAATTATTCTCTGCAAAACGATCAAGTTAAAATTAAAAATTATAACTGCTGAAACCGGTTACGTGTGCTTGTAATGTTTATTAAAAAAAAATATTTTCAAAACACTCAAAAAAAAAGAAAAAAGTTATACAGACTTCACATCGAGCTCTCATCCTCCCCCCCACCCACCAACCCCTTGGCCAATTGGTCACTCCACCCCCTCGCCCCTCAGTCAATTTCTGACTTTGAGCTGATCGATAAAAAGAAACAATTTTTATCCATAGATTAGTTATTAGATTCTAGAGACTTGAATGAAATCTTGTCAAACAACAGTGAGAACGCAATTATATGTGCATGGCGAATTATTTCTAGCATCTTTTTTTTCTAGCAAATCATCAAATTTTTCTGTGTTAGTTCGTTCTAATTTATCCCAAATAGATTATTAACTAACGTACACAATTCTTATAGATGCTTTCTCATTTTTTATTATTTTTGGAATTTTCTCAATGTCTCTCAAATTGACATTGAATTTTGCCAACAGACAAAAAGAAGAAGAAAACTTTTTCTTTCTTCTTTTAAGAAAAAAAGATATTTTTCTTTATCTTTAAAGAAAATAAATTTTTCTTATCTTTTATCATTAAAGAAAATTAAATTCCTTTCTTTGAAAAAAATAAATCTTGATGTTTTCTTTTTCGTTTTGAAAATTGATCTTCTAGTCGAAGAATTCTTTTTTCTTTCTTCGAAAATATTCCGCAAATGATAAAAAAAAAGATATAATTTCTTATTCGTTAACTCTTGAGAATAAGATTTCCTGTATATTAATTGCCAAAATACTTTCATAATGTGCCTGTCTGCTCAGCAACATGAAAATTAAAAATTTATTTGTGTTTGTGATCATTTTGAACAGAACGTTATATTTATTTTTTGTTCCTCTTGAAAAGAGTTTAAAAAAAATGTATAGTTTTTAGTAGTGAGTTGAGAAATTTTATTTTTCTCTTTTTTTTGAAAAAAACACTATTAGAAAAAAATAAAAAAAAAATCGAAAAAAGATATATTTTGTATTTCTCAGACAAAGTAATCCGCTAAGTCGACTTTTTAACAATAATAATGTGAATCACATTTTTGAATAAAATAATATTTAATCGTAAAACAAAAAAAGAAAGAAAGAAAGAAACACCAAAAACGATGTTTTTATATGTTTAGGTCCCACCTAGACTTGAACAATTTTTGTCCTTTTTGGAAAAAAAATAAGTCTGACCTACACACACACACACATACACATTCACACACATGTAGGAATTATAAAAAGAGGAGAATAATTTGCTTTTACAAAGTGTCTCTCACCCAGTGTTTTAGTTTCTCCTTACGCGCTAAAATTTAATGGACACAAAAAAAAATTTATTGTGATTGACATATAATATATAAATATATATATACTTACAAGAATGAGAAATTTTTTTCTAATTTTTTCTGCCGAGCAAATATTAATATTTGTTTTATATAAAATAGCCCATTTTCTATATTTATTTAAATTGTTGTCTATATTCAATAATTTTTTACACAATTGATAATAATCAATTTTTTAAAATTATTTCTAAGATTGTTTTCCAGCTTGAAAATAACAAACAAAAAAAAAAAGCTTTAATTTCAAGTTTTTAACTAAAAGTTTTTTTTTCTTAAACAAATGCTTAATATCTGGCAGAAAATTATTATTATTTTAATTATTAATATTGCGCGCGAGAGTTTATGTCATGACCGGAAATGAAAAGAAAAAGGATCAAAAAGAGAAAAGAAAAATGTAATTTTTAAAATTCTTATCCAAAAGGTGTAGGAATTGATTAAATAAGAAAAAAAAATTAATCTCTCATTTCGAAATTTCAACTTCTGACCAAAATCCTTGAAACACCGATTATTCCGATGATGTTTTTTTCGAATATTTCTTAATTGTACTATATAGAGCTGAATAAAATAAATACATACGCATTCGTCTGTGTATGTATTAATGATTATATATATATATAAATATATATTATGAATATTAGGTTTAAAAAAATAGAGAGCTCCAAGTGAGCCTCTTAATATTAGGTCCCGAGAGAGATAGAAAGAGAGAAGAGAAAAAAGAGAGTAAAGGGAAAAACAAGAGAGAGGAAAAAACGGAAGTTTCCAGTTCCGTACCCTTTTCTCCCCCCCCCCCGTAACCCTCCCCCCACAACCTCCTCAACCCACACTTCCTGAATCACGGGAAGACCTCAGGAAGCGATATTTAAAATACGAGCGATGTGTTATCATTTATTATAATATTACGTTTTTTTCGCAGGCAAACAGGCCTTGATCGAATATTTTTTTTTTTTTTTAATAGAAAAATTTATAATGCGCCAAGCGATCTATATTTTTGTGACGGCATTAAAAAAAAGAAAAGAGCGCACGATTAAGCGCAAATTGTATAATTATCTAAAGTCTAATAATTTATGTTAATTGTGTAGCGTGTAAGGATTGGCTGCTGATTAATGATCTCCGATTATATTTTTATTTTTTTTTTTTTTTTAAGAATCGAATCCAATTGGTGTTGACCCACCACTCATTTTTACAACAACAAAAAAAAACGATTTAAATCGTTTACCTTTTTTTATTTGACATTTCTAATCCGAAAAATAGAGACAGGAGAAAAAAAATCGATAGAAGAAGAGAAATAATAAAGGAAAGAAAAATATATAAAGAAAGCCAAAAGAATAAAGAGCGACAAAAAAAATATGAATAGAAAAAAGTAGAAAATTTCGAGAAATGATATTTTTCTGTAAATTGTAAAAGAAAAATGTTATTTCTCCATTAAGGGAAAAAAAATTATATAAAAGCGTCAGTATTTGATTTTTTTGATGGAAAGGGAAAAAAAATAATTGTTTATATTTTATACGTGGATGAAACGACAATTTGCGTGAATGCCGCGAGAGTTTAATAAAGAAAATTTACGTAAAACGAAAGAATGTACTATTTGACTAATTGTATCATTTAATTATCCAACGTATTTAATGAATTGCACTTTGTTAAACATACAAAAAAAGAACAAACACTTAAAAACTTCGTAGTAACGCTTGTACAAAAAAAAAGAATAGAATTTTTTTGTGATCGAGCGAAAAAAAAGTTGAAGACAAACGAAGAGATCGTCAATAACAAATCTGTTTCGCCTGTGACAATTCGAAAAAAGAAAAAAAAGTGAAGAATGGGACGGACTTACAGAAAATTGTGTCGTATTCTTAAAGAAAATTTTGTAACAATGTCTCTCTTTCTTCAAAACAAAAAAAAAATAAATAAATACGACACATTCTCATAGATAGAAGATAAAGAAATATTCATTTTTTGACACCTGGTTATATTTGATATTTCAAAGTTTTCTCAATTATATCGAGAAAAGCATTTGTCCGGAGTTACAATAAAAAAATAGAACATTGTTCAATGGTTGAATATATTGTTTACATAATATAATTACAAAACAAGAGTAACACTTTTTTCGAAAAGACTATATTATACATATATTTGTGTAGCATCCATATTATAATTATCACTCGTTTATAAGAATAATATTATCTTGTTAAAGATTTCTTTGGCAAGTGCCGAGAGAGGAAATTAAGAAAAAAAACACAAATCACGAACAATTGACAAAATAGAGAAAAGAAGAAAAAAACAAAAAAAATAAAGGAATCATAAATATTTATTGTTTTTTTTGCAATTTTTATTCATTTAAAGATGCTTTATTGTTGCTATTGCAAAAAAAATGCGGTAGACTCACAGAAAAAAAAATCTTATTATACGATTGAGAGACCACAAAAAAAACGCGAAATTATGATTGCATGTGTGAAAAATAAACGAAAGAAAAAGTGTGATTGAGAGAGAGAAATAAAATGGGTCGAATATTTGAAAGAATTGTTTAAAAAAAATTATGTATGAGGATTAAATGAATGAGAGAATGATGATGAGACGAAATAACGAAGCTAGTATTCATTTTGGGCTTTCGGAAAAAACTGAAGAAAATATATAAATTCCGGATAAAGAGAGTTATTATTTTCTCTCCTTTATATTCTTTTTTCTCTATTATTTTTAAGTTTCAATTAATATTTCAAAATTTATTTGTTATTGAATATTTATTTATTTGCTTTTAATAATTATTCGATATTTATTTATTTGATTTTAATAATTATTTGTTTATTAAATTTCAATAATTGTTAAATATTAAATATTATTATTATTGAATATTTTTTTATTCGCTTTTAACAATTATTCGATACTAATTTATTTGATTTTAATAATTAATAAAGATTTATAGATTTAAATTTAATATTATTTATTTGATTTCAATAATTATTAAATATTTCTTTATTTGGTAAAAATAACTATTGAATATTTATTTATTCGATTTTAATATTTATTAAATATTTGTCTATTTGGTAAAAATAATTATTGAATCTTTATTTATTCACTTTTAATAATTATTAAATATTTGTCTATTTGGTAAAAATAATTATTGAATATTTATTTATTTACTTTTAATAATTATTAAATATTTATTAATCTTATTTTTGCAACTACTGAGAAATTTTTATTTAATTGACATTATTTGTAAATTGTTATTGCAAAGCGTAAATATAAACTTTAAATTTTTTTTGAAGTTTATATTTTAAGAGAATAATGTTGAATTTTTCATATTTTTCAAGTTGTTCGAGTTTCCGACAGCACTGAAAGTTCAAGAAGTCACGAAATTGTGCTCTTCTTTTAAGAGAGGTGAGATATAACGAAAGGGTGTAAACCTTTTGAGACAGAAATACCATTCCTCGTTTTTTTTTTTTTTACAGAAAATGATACGCCGAAATATTTTTTTTAATTGAAATTAATTAAAAAAATTTATTGGCATTAGTGTAGTATATTTTTGGAGCATAATTATTAATTTATTGTTGGATAATATATTTATTTTATTAATTATTAATATATTTATTATGTATCATTATAACTTGCATTATAATAATTAAATAATAATTTGCAATATTAATTAACACATATATACGTAATGTAATATTATTATTAATTTTATTTATTCGAAAGTTGCGGTTAAAGTTATTTAAATAAACCGCGTCAAATATTTCAGTTTGTGTGATTGGCTGGTCTTTAGTTAACGTACCAGTGCAGCCAATATCCATCACTTCCGTTTGCTTCCACTGCAAAAGACCACCGAGCGTGAGGTTTGTTCTCGTCAATTGTGTGTTTCTTTTTATTGAAAACTTAAAAAAAC